TAACGTCAACCGTAGCCGGCGGACATAGACGTCTGTTATACGTCACAAATGTGACAACGAGAGTTCGCTACCTCGTCGACACTGGCGCAGAAGTTAGCGTTCTCTTAGCAAATCATAACGACCGGCTCCACGAATCAACTCTAAACTTACAGGCGGCAAACGGAAAACCGATCGCTACGTATGGCAAAAGGTACGTTTACCTTAACGTGGATTTACGCAAACCAATTCATTGGATTTTCGTTGTTGCAGATGTTTCTATGCCAATCATTGGTATGGATCTTCTACAACACCATAATCTGATCATCGACACGCGCAAACGAGGCACTAGTAGACGGAAACACTAATTTATCCGTTTGAATGCAAAAACCATTCCCGATCGTTGCCCGTTGCCTCACATTCACGATTTGACAGCTACCTTGAAAGGTACAACTGTCTTTTCGAAAATCGACTTGATTAAAGCGTATAACCGAATCCCTATGGCGACAAACGACATACCAAAAACAGCTATCATAACTCCTTTCGGACTCTATGAATTTTTGCGAATGCCGTTCGGTCTATGAAACGCTGCGCAAACTTTCCAAAGATTCATAGACGACGTCTTTCGAGGTCTCAACTTCGTACATGCGTATGTTGATGACTGCCTAATCGCGAGTCCGGACAGAGAATCACATCTCAAGCATCTGGATCTTGTTTTCGAACGATTACAAAAACATGGCATTACTGTAAACGTTCAGAAATGTCAAATCGGGACCGACTCGTTAGATTTCCTAGGACACACTATCGATGCTCAAGGCATTCGACCTCTTAGGACCAAAGTGGCGGCAATTTTGGATTACCCAGAACCGACCAATGTCAAGCAACTACGCACGTTTAACGACCTGGTAAGTTTCTATAGACGCTTCATACCGAAATGCGCATTACTTATGAAACCTCTTACCGACCAACTTCGTGGAAATGCGAAATCCATTAATTTGGACGACACCGCACGAAAAGCATTCTCCACAGTTAAGGAACTGATCGCTAAAGCAACAGTGCTCGCACATCGGGACACCGAAGCACCCATTAGTATCGCATCCGACTCGGCAATCGGAGGAGTCTTACAACAATGGATTAACAACTGCTAACAACAACATTCACCAAAACCTACTAGATAAGAGTTAACATAAACCGTAGGGGTGAATTTATCCGCAACGCAACCATGTAAACTTAATGTATCGCCCAGTGTAATAACGGTCATCTGTGCATCCAAGTAACCACAGATCTTGTCATTTCATAATGTATTTTTAATTAAATAACTAGATTATGTTGTTAATTTTACTCTGTTTTGAGTACAACCCCTCTATTACTGCTATATGGCACATTTTTCATAAGAAACCCTCTGCAATAGATTGGTAGCATCTGTGACTTCGTCTATGGTTGTTCGGAAGTCTGAGTCCTTCCGAAAACAATACTGATACCCCCTACTACTGGGCACTCAGTATTAGTTTGACTCGTTGGTGGGATAGTGTTGTCAAAAATACTGAAGAAAACTAAAAAGCGGAGATTGTTTCCTTTCATTTTGCCGATAACATCATAAAGGACGAAGTCACAGATGCTACCAATCTATTGCAGTATTTGTTATAAAAAATATGCCATATAGCAGTAATAGAGGGGTTGTACTCATTACGTCGTGCGTTAAAGCAAGCTTAACATTGAAAAGCCGGAAATCTGCTATCAGTGTGTAGTGTCTGTTAGCTGTTTTGCCCATAAAAGGAAGTCGAAGGGTCAAGATCAGGGATTTAAAAGGTAATTAACTGTTATTAAGCTCACATTTTATAGATCATATTTCACCACTCGCAAATCTGTGCTTTTTTACGGTATGACGTCAACCGGTACCTAATATGTTCACCCTTACGATGAAAAGTACCTTCATATTCGAATTATTTTTGGACAACTGTCCTCCAGTTTGAGTGCTTCGTACGCCCTGGGGAACTAGGTTCATACGTTATGCGTAGTTCCAGTATAACTTTCTCATGCAGCAAGTTCAAAGTAGACACTAGTCTTTCTAACTAAGCCTGTTAGGCTAATATCCGTATTTACTATTTCAGTTAATCGATGAATACATGTACCACGTGCATCTGCTGTATACCGCCATTTTACTCCAATTCTGTTCTATCTTCTGAAAAATAAAATTGCTATATGCAGCAAATACAGACTTATTTGTTTTGATGGAGATAAGAGGGTTCATAGAATTTTTAGCAGGACTGAATTAATATTCTCACTAAGGAGCTGAGCGAGTGCGTAGACCAATGTAAGGCGCTATACAGGGTGCCTTTGATTTACTAGTGTTCCATTAGTGCGGGTAAGGGCATTGCTTGCCTATCATATGGAATTTGAATAAGAAGCTATGAGATTAGATGCAGGTACGGTTAGGATGTATAACGCGTGTCCATCCATTAGCTGCTGTGACAACTCATGGTGGTTAGAATAAGTTATGAGAGGACCCAAGTCGGTAGGTTTCCCAAGAAAATGACGACGATATGTACTAGACCACTTGGATTTACTACATATGAACTAGACGCTGAGAGGCTCGTATATCACAGGTTTCTTGCAACGATTAAGTAGGTAAAACAAAGTAGCATTAGATTCAAAAATTTATTCAAGAACTTTCATTAAGAATCAAACAAAGGTTTAAACCAAGTTTCCGTTTAAAAGTTGTATTGTTAATGTTGAACCGCAGTTTTTGTTGCTTTTTTCCAAACGAAAAAGTAAAAGAAGTCAAAAAATACTGGAGGTGGTTGTGAGACTAAAATGGACGTCCAGCATCCTTTTTATAATCTGCTGTTAGTTGGGTCTCCCGTATATATATTTCTAAGGGCGAAACAGTTCTTAGGATCTGTGAGGACTCAGTCCTGTTGCATTCTAAATGAGAAAATAGTAATGAATTTAGTCAGAAATGTGGAATAGATAAATAAAAAATTACGTTTTCGAGGAAAGAATTTATGTAGTTGCGATCTACCTTGAGTTCATGAATATTAGATCAGATTAGCTACTATTACTTGTGCAAAGCATAACATGGGCTTAGTACCGTATCGCAATGCTTTTATTATTTTGCTCCCATTTAAGTATTCCCATGCATCTGCGTCTAGTTTAACAGGAAGGCATACAAACAGAGTTAGTATCAGATAAACTTAAAGTTCCAGTTGTCAAAAACTCTTAATATTTGACCACAGCCAGCTGCATTTAATTGAGACACAGAACACTCATCTTCTAAGACTGTATACTGCTGTTTTGCGGGCGACGAAAAGCTCAGACGCTTAGCTATCCTGCTACCGATGCTATTGCTGAGGAACTTGTTTAATGACAGTGATCTTGAAATATGGTCAGTGATAGATGTACAGTCTAGAACTAAACACCAAACATAATATATGACAGCAACAGTACCAAAGGTATTTTTTTCCTATTTTCAATCAGTAAATTCATTAGAAACAGGCAGCTCTACTTACTAAACTGATCTGTTTCGTTACAGGCTTTAAGCACTATACTTAAGTATACCATAATTCTTCCGACTAAACTGAACTACACGACAATCAAGAATACTAAAGTAAGCAAGTGCATAATTATTGTTTCATTTGCACAGACATGTTGCTCAAAGTAGTTAAATGGACATAATCAAGCCGATAAAACCAAAACACGAAATATGGGCCAGTCGGACTTACCTAACAGAAGATAAAGGATATATATATATTGCTTTCAGGCTGAAGACATCAGTCAGTTGTTCATAAAAACATAGTCTACAGTACAACAAACCTTTCTTCAGTAACATTATGCACTCATGGTTTATCTGGAAACAATAAACTATGTGATTAAACTCACTGTGACTTGAGATATCGTTACAGCGTGCAATGAACCTACAATGTAACGCAGTCGGACGTGGCGAATAGAAATCAAGAACAGAGCAAAATTAGCTACATAATCTAGTTATTAAATTAAAAATACATTATGAAATGGCAAAGTCTGTGGTTACTTGGACGAACAGATGACCGTTATTACATTGGGAGATACATTAAGTTTACATAGTTGCGTAGCGAATAAATTCACCCTCATGATAACAATGCCATTGAAGATTCATTTTATATTATGCATCATTACTATGACATCACTTTCACTGCTTACAGGACGGAGGATGAACTCAAATAAAATTTAAATTTTTTTGATTGAGATCTTGAACCAATTGATGTTAGACCACCAAAATTGAAAACCTGGAAGCACTGGACGGCCGTTTTGTCCTATTGTGGGACTCCTCAGCAGTGCGCATCCACGATCCCGCGAGCGGGATTCGAACCCAGGGCCTTCGGTCTCGCGCGCGAACGCTTAACCAACTGGATCACTGAGCCGGCATCCAATGGTGATAGTTTCTGACATCATCCAATCCACGAAATTGCGCGACCAACTTCCATTGTACTGAAGTAGATAACTGTCTCTACCCGACAAGGATTAGCTCCACTGGTCACGGCTTCTCACTAGAACTCCGAGAATTCCCTCACGAAGCTAGTCACTAGTGAGCACATATTGATTACATCAGTTGGTTCAAGATCTCAATCAAAAACTTAATAATCTCCACAACCCCTATACTAGTAAAATTTAAATTGTCTTGATTTGACCGTTTCTGGAAAAATTTACAAATTGTTGCGTTGACGCGTCAATCGTTTTAAGAGTTTGACCTTCAAGGGCTCAGCAACATCCACGAATGAAAGATTCTACGGAGTCTTTGTCTAGTCTTCTTGCTTAGTTGACCATCTGATCCTAGTCTTGAACTCAAGATCCCATAAATCTGAGGCTTGTGTTATTATTGATTTTTTTATGTTAATTTCCTTAATAAATGTATTGCGTTATGTGAATTTTCTAGGTCGTTGACTCACCTTATGTTCTCTGTTTCAGCCCTCCCCATTTACTCTTCATGCTACCCTAGTACATGAAGTACCTTCTGGCTAGACGAGAACCGCTACAGTCTAAATCTTATGGCTTTATCGTTTGACGACAAACTTCTTGGGGAAAAGGTCCATAATTATTGTAGCAGCAGTGAAGGCGAAGAGGACACTGGCGAGAGTCGGAACAAGAGTAACCCTTCTACTATTGTTCCGAAAAGTTTAAATCCTCAAAATATATCCTATCTTGGCTCTCCACAGGTTAGGAATATTCTGAAATGTAATGTAGTTTTAGACTGGACCAAAGGGTGTAGTTGCTGATTATAAACGTTTTAAAAGACTGGAAAATGAACGGAACGCTGAGAAAGAACGAAAACTTGTCGAATATACCAAACAGCATTCCTTTAGTTGCAGACCTTACGTATGTGGTTATAATTTTATTTTATTTTTAAGAGTAAAGATGTAAAGGAAGATGAACATACCCATTCGACCTTAAACGCTTCAGATGATAGCGACGATGACTTTTTGACTCAATATCGACAGAACAGAATAAATGAACTAAGAAAAGCCAACGAAAGTTTGTAAGCTTTTCTGTGTAACAAACATGTAACTTTCAAGACCCACTTTCAACAAGATCTACGATCTGGTAGCGGATACATTTATTGAGGAGATAGATAACACAAACGAGAACACGACTGTTATTGTTTTTATATATGAAAATGTAAGTAACTTTTTTTATACGTTTTAAATCCATAGGGCAATAAATCATGTGCAAAAGTCAACACTTGTCTCGAAAAAATATATCACGGTTATCCGCACGTGAAGTTTTGTAGAATCCGAGCTTCTGAGGCTCATCTCAGTTACCGATTCGTAAGTTCTGTCTGTGGAGTTCATTTTCATACCTCATAACTGTGCATGTAATATATTTCGTATTTTCCCAGTTTTCTACATATGGTTTCATCTACATACAGTTCGTTTTGCAAAGTGATCTCGTCTTTTGATTTCTTTTTCGCGGATTACGTGGCTATCTAACCACTCTTTTAACTGGAACGTTTGACCCTTAGTTTCGAAACACTAAACATAGTTTTCTTGAGAATGAAAGCCCTCTTGTCATGAGACCAAGTAGTGAAGTAGTTATGGATCCATGACTAGATAGTAGGGTATTATTGCAGTTATACAAGATGATGTATAAAGCCATATCCAGAGCACCGTTATCACAAACAGCTCGATGTTTGTAGATTAATGCTTTTGGTGGAGTTTTGTTCTCTGACCTGAACTTCAGGTAGAAATTTGTGTTGATGGTTTCGTCTAGAAGAACGATGAGAGCTCCACAACCAAACCATTCAACTCAGAGAACAAAACCAAACTAATGTTTGCACAATTGTAGTGTCGCTGATTTGCCTGATGAACCGTGCATCCTACATGTTGCTTCAAGGTCAGACGGATTCTGTGTTACATAGCCATATCAGTCAGTCAGTAACAACGTAGAACTTCGTACGTACGTACATCAGTTCGAGTTGCCACACCACCTTAACACAGAGATGCAGTTGTCGCTCTAAATCTCGTAGTGGTAGAGGTAGCAAGAGTGTAAGCAGTGATCAGGAAGATTAGGGTTTGGAGATGTTATTTAAAGAGTATAATTCAGTGAAATAAATTTACAAGGAGGAAAAAAGAAGGGGACATGAAGAATTCAGAAGATTAGAATTTGGGAGAACACAAAGAGTGGATGCACCTGCGCCATTGCAAACGATTTTGAGCCATGTCATTCAGGGTCTCTAACCATCGGTTGCTATCATCTCGCGGTCCCCAACCAGGTAGTCTACACCTATCAACATGACTCAGACCACTTGTCAGTGACTTCATGGACTTGTGCCATGTTTTGGTCTGGCCGCCCCCAGCTTTCTTCCAACCTATTCCTATACCACTGAACATCGCACGTCGAGGCAGTCGGTCGTTGGGCATACGTAACACGTGTCCCAGCCATCTCAACTGATGAAGTTTCACTACTTCATCAATTGATTTTCCATCCTTACCTAGTACCCGTTTCCTAACAACTGTGTTACTTACTCGATGGTCCCAGCATATACGAGCAATGTTTCGAAGACACCTATGATCGAATACTAGTAACCTACGAATATCCTCTACTCTTACCGGCCATGTTTCACTGCCATAAAGTAGGACGGGACGTACTGCTGCGCAGTAAACCCGTCCTTTGGTTGATAGACGGATATCTCGCCTACGCCATAAATGACGCAAGTTGGCAAAAGCTAGTCGAGCCTTCTGTATCCGTGCTGAGATTTCGTCACACACCAGACCACAAGGGCTGATGAGACTTCCAAGATAAGTGAAGCGGTCGACACACTCAACTACTTCACTCCTTATCACTAGTTCGGGTGTCGATGTAACCCAATCCTGAAGCAACGTTTTGCATTTCGAGGGAGAGAATCGGATTCCGAACATGCTTGCATTGTTGCTTAGAGTGGTCAGAAGACTCTGCATTTTGTCAGCGTCTTCACCAAATAAAACTATGTCATCAGCATATTCTAAGTCAACAAGTGAATATCCCGGTAGAAGTTCAACCCCTGGAAATTTAGATGAGGAGAGTGTTATCTCTAAAAGTACGTCAATGACAAAGTTGAACAAGAATGGAGAGAGTGGACAGCCTTGACGAACACCACTTGATGTAATCAATTCTGATGACAGTTCGCCATAAGCTCTCACCTGACCAGTTGTGTTCGAGTAGAGAGCCCGAATAAGGTTAATGTACTTCTCTGGTACTCCTTTCAGTGACAAACACTGCCATAGAACCTTACGATCAACAGAGTCGAATGCCGCCTCAATGTCGAGAAATACTACAATTGTGGTGCGCCTAAACGTGTGTTTGTGTTCTAGAACCTGACGTAGTGTGAATATTTGGTCTATACAACCACGTCCAGGTCGAAAACCAGCCTGATTTTCTCTAGTCTGCTCTTCACGAGCTTTGGTTAGTCGTCGAAGTATAGTTAGTGGGAAATGCAAATGTGGGCACCATGTTTACAAATCTGAACCGCTTACCCATACACACAGGTGATTTCTGTGGACACATTCGACTTTTCAATGGTTTCTCAAGCGTCTTGGTCTCCTCTAACGGATAGTGTCCTAGTTATGTATTTGATAATGTGAATTAATCATACTCCATTACATGTTATTGCATAAAGCCCTTTTCATATTTGAAAGCTAGGTTTTTGCAGCATGGAAATCTAAATAATAGACAGGACTTTTTGCCTTGAATTATGGTTACTAAATTATGCTGACGAGTATATCATAGAAAAGTGGTTTGATCTTTATTTTCTCAAATAATATCAAGTTAGACAAAGAGAATCTCCCCGTATGTCAAAAGGCTAGAAGTTTCTTACTCGATGGATAATGTGAATCATGTTGTAGTCGTTACTGGTTGTTATTTATATGTTATATTTCTTATTGTCTGACTTAATGGACGTTTCACTTGTTTAGTCCTTGTAATATGTGCATTCTTTAATAGTCTCACCGTGGTGTTCCTGCTATTGTGGTCTACAAAAATGGAGAGCTGATAGGGAATCTACTTTCCATTACTAAGGATCTTGATCTGGAGTTCTATCCAAACGATCTGGAGAATTACTTAGTTGAGTGAGTTATATGGTAGTCTTTTGTGTATTTTAATTGTACCCAAGTAATCAATAAAGGGGAAAAATACGTTGCAAAATAAAGGGAAAATAATGGGGTGACGCGCCTAAATGTCTGCTTTGCCTGTCAGGGGATTTCGCTCTGTTCTACATGTCGCTGAATTGTCTACTTTTCGTTTAAATACACGCCAAATTGTCTACTTTTCGCCTAAATACACTCCGAATCATATACTTTCACTCCACTTTTGGGCACACCTTTGGTTTAGCCTCAAATGTCTCGTATGTTCGCTTTTATTTCCATAGCAAACCACACGACAACTGCAATCGACATTAAGAATGTTACATGTTTAAAGAAATTTATTGAAAAGAAAAGAACGTCATATTGTACATTATGAATAGTTGACATGCTAGAGCATCGATTGTTATGTATTTTGATTGTAATTGCTAAGTTTTGAAAAGATCTACAAAAGAAAGAAATTGTTATGGGTTATTAATTAGGAACGTGTACTTAATTACAAGTGCATCTAAAATCAGACAGGCTTTCTCAACACTCACTCAAAGAGCTTTACATGAAATTTGGAAAATAAGCGCATGTTTAAGAAAATGTTTATTGAAAATGAAGTTTATTATATTACACTGGTAATGCCTTTTTGAAACTCCTGTTGAATTATTGAGAAGCAAAGTAATCTCGTGGGTTCTGAAATTTAATAAACAAAAAATTACAACGATATCTAACAGCTATTGTATTTTAAGCAACTACCTATGTGAAGTTTCTACTTACGGTTATGTTCATTAATACTGAAAATCGCACTTACAAAACAGCGGTGAGTAGTTATAAGTTTAAATTAGTACGTACATATTCTTGTTTTATTTTATTACTCTTTTGCATTTTGTCTCTAATATCGTGAAAATATCCTTGCGTCGCGATGTCATACAGTTTTGCAAGGTCTTTTTCTTCACCGATGAAGACAGGAACTGATCTGTTAATGCGCCTGGAAGTTAAAAGATTTCTTACTTCGTATGCAACCGTAAAACCTGCACTTTTGACGTGCTCTTTCCGATGAAGTGCTAAGTACTGTGAAATGGCTGGCAACTTCAGGTGTCATAACGTATGACAAATTATAGCGTATAGACGTCCTAAGGTTATCATTCATTAACCACGTCAGCATGGCCATCTGCAATATGAACAAATGATCCTATTAATTTTGTTGGCTTACAAACTTGTCTCTTATATTTTCTTGCTGAAGACATGCGTCTAACATTCCCAGTTCCTCTTCAGATGATAAAGGGAACTGCTGGCTTAATAATCCGCAATCGAATTGCCGCGGTTGTTCACACCCACCAGACTTCGGCAGTAACTGCCTAATGTTGGCACTGAAGTCTGAAACGACTGACAATATGTTCTGCAGTACAGCATACAGTTTATCAAATCTTAAGAACTTAACTCAGTCGGATACGTGACTTACTCGACCGCTAACGCACTGCCCACGCGGACGTTGAGGGCGACGTGTCCAATTATGTCCAACTAGTTAATTAACATCTTCAAAGTAAACACGCCTACTTGGCGATTGGCGAGGTAATGGTGTCCAGCAACCGAAACTTAAGATATTGGACGTGGCTATTTCTAGCCTGCATCTGAGCCACATCCATGTCAACGGAATTGTAAAGAAACCCTTTTTCCGTTTCAATACACCTCTACGAAATATTAATAAGATTACTGTACTAACTTCTTCGGCTTCTCATTGGTAGTTGCAGGGTGTTTTCGTCCGTAGAAATGTTGATACGGTAAACATCTATTTTGGTGAAGGAAACCAACAACTCCTTTGCATTCTGGAGATTATCTATAGAAAATGATCGTTTCTATGTTTGTAACTCACCGCATTCGTGAATGACCTTACACTTCAGGACTGATCAATTGTCCGTCGGATAGAGACAAAGTTCTTTCCCCACAAACCACTGTTTAGCTGCAATCATAGGCTGCCTTTTGCTCAGTGCATCTAAAATTATGTATTGTTTGTTGGCCGGCTAATAGGACATTAGAGGTAAGGAAATGGTTTATGGTAATATCATCAGTAAGAATGGAACAATCATCATTTCATTCTATGGAACAATCTCTGAATAATTAACACAATTAAGGGCAGTACATTTGCAGTCAGTATATTCAATGGAAACCCATGTGTGCTCATGACTAACTATCAAGCACATAAATATTCCTGTCACTATAATGGGAGGGTTCTTCGAAGTAATTGAGTAGGTCTGCGAATGACCTAATTTTCATTAATCCATTCTCCCCTTCATCAGTTACCAGACCAGGCTTCCCGTGTACTAGTACCACATTATTTGGCTTGAATAAAGTTATTTTAGTATTCTTAAGCATAACTACTTGTTTCCGTGAGTCTACCTTATTGGTTATCTGTGGACTATAAGTTGAACTGCTAGCTTGAAGCCTATCTCCGCATAACGCTGAGCTACTTTCTTGGCAACAGCATACCCGCTATGCATTGATTTCTTAATTTGCTTCATATGTGACTCGAATGGGAATGCTGAAAAACAATTTAAAGGTCCATGTGCACGAACATCGTCGCGAAGGTGCTGCAACAAAAGCACATTGTAAACTAAGTTTTTGGGCCAAAACACCATTCATATTTTTTAAGAAAGTTCAGTAAACCCATTCTGACGGAATTCGTTGCGCTACTACGTAATCTTGGATGTGCTAACAAATAAATCGATGAAGCTAAACGCCTGAAATTAGGGTACAAGGGTTGCGGTAAACTTTGTTGAATAATTACGGGGCCTAAATATAGCAGGAACAATCGGTACTCCGTAGCTTTCCGTACTGGGATGAAGTCTAATGTGCGGCGTTTACGCTGGAAGTCGGAGGGAGTACTTGCTACGAAACTAGATATTAACTTATTTATATCCCTAATTACATATATGTTCATGTTTCTTAGTCGTTTGTGAGGAAATTCTGTCCATAGGTTGACTAGTTCCTTCGTCACACCTAAGTATTAGTGATAATGAACATAAAAATAGAGAGCACACCACTCACTTGTATCTCGTAAGTTATTTGTGATGACCACCAAATATGTCGGAACACTAGTTAAACAAACAATAAAATTTGGATATATGCATGTAAGGAAAATCCTTGTCTACAAATTTCCCCAAATATAGGATGTAAGGGGAAAACATCTACATTTACCCTAAATAACCGACGCAAAGGGGGAAAATTGACTTTTCCCCTTTATTGGTTGCTTCGATAATTAATAGTGACACGCCGAATTTACAGAAAATCCTTTTTCTCGTTTTCCAAGTTGTTACGTTCAGGCGTTGACTTTCTGCAAACTTGTAACGTGTGCATTCCTATGTGGTTTTTGTTGGGGATCTATAAATCGTAGCTAGCTATCAATATTCAGAGGTCGATTTTAATGAATACAGTTTACCTGTATTGGAGATTTACTATTATATATATTTTTAAGAGTTTAGTATTTTACCATTTCGTGGTTTTTGAAAGATTATATACCAACCGTCTGTATAATTCCAAATAAATGTTAAGGTATCATGTTTTTTATTTTAAGTGGTCAGTTTAATCTACTTTTTGTTAATATTACTGAATTACAGTTTGAACGATTTGCTAGGGTAAGCTGTTGAAATTCATGTTCACTTTTAATCACTTGGAAAATATGAAAACGAGTAAAACGTAGTAAAGATTCATGGATATAAGAATATTTCTTCAAACACTGTTCATCGTTCTATAATTTCAGTACTGTAACATCCATATGTATCTTTTATCTTTAATCCGAAACTTCTGTAGGTATGGATTTCTGCCTGATAAAACGGTCGTCCAGTCTACTGCAGTGATTAATTCGTGTTCTCATCTTTGTAAAAAAAATTAAATCCTTTATTTTGTGTGCATTGAATATAAATTCAAAAGTATTTTGACTCAATTATATACATCTTTCCTTCTAAGTACATAATTGTTCATTTTATGTGACCTTACGCAATTAATGTCTTTATGTTACTTAAAAATATTAAACATTGTAATAACTGTTATATCTTAAAATCAGTAGTTATCTTAAGAACTGTTTCTTTTTAACGTCTTAGAATATGTTGCTTATGAGAGTAGAAATATCAGGATGCGAGAGTTTTCATTTTATCTTTGATTAATTTCACTGAATTAACACTAGTAAGTTCACTCCTGTTTCACTAGTATTGATCATCTTGAATTTGGAGTTGAATTCATATATAACGCATAAAAAGGATAATGAAACTCCAACTATGTATAAAAACAACGATATTGTACAAGATGCATAAAGATCCACGGGGATCAATCTTGATATATCAAAATAATGTCATGGCATTAGTTTTTACATCATACTGCATTTTCATTACATTAATCGTATATACTTATTTCATGTCAGCCACCTAAAATGTTGATTAGACCACTTACCAATAATAACTGACTGGTCTAAATACGTCTACCAAATAAGCAACAGCTCTAATTTATCGCATAGAAATTTATTTGTGCAACTCAGCGTGTACGGATTTATACAAGGGGTTTGTAACCACACTAGGAATGATGGCTAGTGATGCAACCTGGTTCCCTAGACAGAAGTGAAGCAATGTTTGAACCCATGGTCCATTGGTTAAAAACCAGTTACTGTAATCACTAAGCCATTACTACCTAAGTTTTAAGATGGTCAGAAGTTGTATACTACACTAGCCAGTTATCAAACTATTTAAACAGAGGCAACATTGACAATTTACAATCCCGTACTACAGGAATCTTTGTTTCACAGAAACATACACAAAAACCAACATGCTGATTGGCACTTGGATAATTATTTTGTTATGTCCCAATGACTAGAATTATTGGGAAATGGTGTTCCTGAGAGATACAGTATAATGTCATGATAGATTTTAGAAGTTACGTAATTAATAGCTCTTTGATCTGAAGACTTGTTTGTTATTAAAGTGCCGTGTAAAAATGATTCGGTTGTCGTGATATGCGAAAATCTAGACATCTAGTTGTTGATATAAACTAGTCTGTACAGGTTGAGCTAAATAACCAAGAGGGGGAGGTACTAGTTATTATTATTAGTAGCTTTATTCAATATTATATTTTGGTGCAATCAGGAATTCTCAGCACAAAGTATTCCAACAATAATCCTTTTACAAAACAAAAACCAATGACTGAATACGTATATATAGATTAAGTAAATAAGCGAATTCGAATTACTGATGACTTACAACAACGTATCACTTGAACGCGTAAACATATTTTTGATTATCTAACAGACTCAAATTTTGAACGTTATAATAGCTATGCGTAAACTTTGTAATGCAATATTAGCATGTGTTCGTACAATATAGTACCATGAAGAGAAAAAAACAAGTTCTATAAACAATCACAGTTGAACTGTTATTTATACACTAAATAACAGGAAATTTCCTACTTTTTAGTTCTTAGTACTGGTGTCTCTGACTACGATACATGGGAAGTATCAGTTCCTTCAAAATTCTAAGTATTCTTGATGATTTTCAGCAAGCACAGGGCTTCGTAACTCCAATCACCTGACATTAAAGTGCAACCACTTTAATTGATTTGACAGGGAAACACATTTGTTTTACGAGTTAATGTTCTCCAAAGGTAGGGTTCTTATCAAGGGGATCTCAATATTAATCTGAGTGGTATCTTTAGTGAAGCTTCACATAAAAAGTATATTGCAGTGTCAACAAAATGAACTCGTTGTATACCCGTGGTGTATTCTTAACTAGCCCGGTTGGATAAATTGATAGCATTTCATTAACCAGATGACTAGAGCATTAAAGTATATGTGCTATCAGGTCACGACACACTCCAAGCAAGAAATTCTAGTCCACACACAATCAAGCCATAAATAGCTGGGGACGGAACACAAGGTGGATTAGCAATAATCAATGGATAGTAAGACGTATAACAGTAATTAGTAAGTTCAGCTGAAGCGTACAACGAGAAGTGTAGGAAAACAATAATTCGGATGTTTAATAATTAGGCAATAGGTGAAGTGATAATACATAAACTATTTCGTAGTTACAACTTCTCTAGTATTTTCTCCCTTATGTTAGTATACATTCTAAGGTTTATGATAATGCTCTATGAATTAATCACATTAAATATAGTAACTTAAAAGAGAGTTCATGCATATATAAGCTTATAATTTTGTCTATAAGTTGGGGAAACAAGTAATACAGTGGGCTATTATGAGGGTGCTGCATATTTTTATTTATAAAGCAATTAACCCCCGTTTTGATCTAACTTGAATATTATTCTTGAAGTAGTGATAGGAAGTACTGTATACACAATAATCAGTAATCAAGTAGTATTTTGTCGATATCTCCCGTAACTGTGAAAAAGCCTTAAATACAATCAATGATAGAGCCTAAACTCATTTGCGGCTACATTGATACTTTTCTACACCAAGTACGGAAATTTAGAATCATATAGAAACCCCCTACTATGTCCAGAGTAGGAAAATTATCATCCATGGGACTGAAATCTCAAATATAAACCATTTTATCACGACCAAAAATCAGAAACCATGGTACTCGACACGAGACCTGGGGGTTTTAGGTGCAATTTTTCTGAAGAGTCACACTAGGACGAAACACCTAGGGAACTCGTAGCTCTTAGTGATTCTCCAGATGATATTAGTCGATGACGAAAACCGTCTCCAGATTCATCAAGAGAAATATGTGGCGCTATTCACTAATGAGGTTTGGGCATCGCATTATGTGTGCGGGTGAACGAGAAAAATAGAATAAAATCATCTTCTGTTGTTATATGTGTATTTGTATACCTTGTTTCCTTCTTCATCCAGTGGATAAGAAAAAACAGTAATTAAAGAATGCTCATTACTAGAAAAAAGCAGTCAATATGTTTGGAATTCGATAAATCAATAACAAATGGTAAGACAAAGAAAGTGAACTGAGAAAAAAAGTACAAAATAAGTCCATGGACAAAGAAATTACTAAATAAATCGATAAGTGAAAACCAAAACAAACTGTACACAAATCATAGTTTAATTTATGGTGATTGAGAAATAACTTTGTACATCTAAAAAAGAATTTCCTATCAGGGATCTGTCCATGAGTGATGAACAGACAAGTGCACTGACATGTACATTGTTATAAGATAATGATCGGAAGAAAAAAGAACAGGAATACTTTGATTTCTGATTAAAATTATGAGTACAACTAGTTTTTATGTATTAAAGATATTCACTCTCACATGGAAAACCAATTTTTCGATAGAATTCAGTCATTAAAATGGTTAAATGTTGTCAAAAGGAGAAATGCCTGTATAATTTGCAGTATTCCATAAATATATGGTAAATCGTATTTTCGGAATCGTTGATGAGTATTAAGCATTATGCATTGATCTTAGTTTCATTAACTCATTTGTCAAGGCCTCAATCTACAATAATAATCATTATAAAATCCATTAAGATATGTAATTTATGAAGATTTGTTTGTTAGTTGGGTTTTATCACGGATTGGTATCAACTAGATAAACAATGAAAGCTAGGGTTGACTACATAACAGCTTCCTCCAAGTAGTACGAACTCACACCCTAAATCAACATCCAGTACTATACATTCTGAATATTTGTTAATTTTCTATACAGCGTGACAATCACTTAAAGCCGATCGTCCATGGAGGTTGTTAGATTTCAAGGAAGTTCATATCATCGCCCGACCGAAGCTGCTACCTTGACGCGGTGGTCGGGCTTGCCTATCGTGACGACCCAACCGGGCTATATTGGCTGGAACATATGTTCTTGTAGGTTCTACCATGCCAGGCAGGTCGATTGGTGAACGGTAAGATTAAAAGCAGCAACTCAAGGTCTGAGGGCGAAGTCGTACTGCTGACTGTAGAGAGGTGTGACAACAGTAAGGTGTTTCCCTCAGACAACCAGCATGACAGCGATGCTGCCTTCCCACAAGGAGGGGTGGGGTTAGAAAAGGTCGACCCTAAAAATGTCACACCTCACCTTACCTCACGGATTTCCGTCTCCGGCGGTAAGGCCCTTTGAAGAACGGAGCTAACACGTCAAAATCCTTCCACGAAAAGGCCGTGCGCGACCGGCCTCAAGCAGTTGTCCCTTGGGCTCTGCGGTCACGCTCCCAGGTCGTCAAGACCAACACTAATCCAATTTCATTTTCAGCTTCCTCAAGAAATACCCTTCCACGGTGTGGGCAGCCGGGAAGTGACATCAGCCCTCATACCCGTAACAGCACACGAGACCAAGTTGGTCACATTCAAATCCTTCCTACACCTCCTAATACCTCTCTTATTTCCATGACTAACCCTCCTCACTTTTCTTTATCACCTCGCACCGCTAAAGCAAACGATTCAAGTACGCGGAACGCTATTCCTGGTCTCCTGAAACCACGCTCTAAACTACACGTTGGAGCTTTTAACGTCCGAACACTGTGCCAAATAGGACAACAGACTTCCTTAGCTAGGACTTTAGAATCCCGCGCCATCGATGTGTGCTGCGTCTCCGAAACGTGCATACAGGATCCGAGTAGCGTCATTCATCTAACCTCACCATGCCAAAATAAAGAACCAACTCGATTCACACTTCGTGTATCTGGAAGCCCTGATTCTGCTTCCCGTGGCCTCGCCGGCGTAGGTATAGCATTGAGCCCTAGGGCAGAATTAGCTCTCTTAGAGTGGATCCCAGTAGACAGTCGTTTGTGCGCTGTCCGACTAAACGGAACAGTTAGGATCCGAAAAGATAGGGACATTCGTCGTTGCCTCTTCGTCGTCTCTGTCTATTCTCCCACTGACTGCAGCTCAGATGATGTAAAAGATGAGTTTTACAGAAAGCTTTCCCACCTTCTCCGAAAAGCTAGGCGCTCGGATGTAGTAATAGTGGCCGGTGACTTTAATGCTCAAGTAGGTAAACTAAGCGATAGGGAAAGACACCTTGGTGGATCTTATAGTGTCGTGGCTCAAAGAACAGATAATGGCGACCGTCTGTTGCAGCCATGCTCAGATAACCGCCTGTTCCTTGCAAATACTAACTTTAAGCATAAGGAAAAACATCTTTTAACATGGCGACCCCCTAATTCGTCCCAACGTTGGACCCACATAGATCACATTGCTATCAGTCACCGATGGAGGGGCTCGATAGAAGACTGTCGCTTATTCTGGAGCACATGCCTAGATTCAGATCATGCTCTAGTACGAGCGCGTATTTGCTTGCGTCTTACTGGACGTAGGAAAGACGCTGCAATGAAACCTCTTAGAGGCCTACTTAATGATAGTCAAGCAAAGAGTATATTTCAGGAACAACTAGGAAAACAGTTAGGCAGCCATATGTGTGATGCCCACCCCGAGGCAGCATGGAATGATATCCGAAAAGCTGTGGAAACAGCAGTGATATCTGCTAGTAAGGTAAACCAGAAGGTTAGAGAGCAACACTGGATTTCAGCAGCATCTATCGCGAACAGTGGTGGGTAGCGAAAGCAAGAGAGATGGAAAAGGCAGCGGCAATAGGTAATAGCAGACAATTGTTCACACTTATTAAGGAAACCGGTATTAAGAAACCGACTGTTAGCGAAACAATTTCAGAGAAAGATGGGCATATACATTCTCAATTCAGGAGATTAGATCGATGAGCAGAACACTTTAGGGATCAGTTCAACTGGCCTTCAGCCACACTTCGGTTTCCCACGATCCCCAGTCAACCTGAATGGCAAGTTAATGTAGGTCCTCCGTCTCTTTACGAAGTTGAAAATGCCATAGGAAATCTGAAGAAAGGGAGAACAGCAGACCCTGACAGAATTACTCCTGAGATTTTTAAGGATGGTGGTTCAGTATTAGCAGTGAGATTAACTGAGGTCTTAGGTAGAATTTGGGAACTGGACGTAATCCCATCTGACTGGTCTCAATCACTGATTGTGCCAGTCTATAAGAAAGGACAAAAGTCCTCTTGTGACAATCATAGAGGAATCAGTTTGACTAATATAGTGTTTAAAATATTAGCTTCAATAATACTTCGACGCCTAACCGAAGCTCGTGAAGAGCAGACTAGAGAAAATCAGGCTGGTTTTCGACCTGGACGTGGTTGTATAGACCAAATATTCACACTACGTCAGGTTCTAGAACACAAACACACGTTTAGGCGCACCACAATTGTAGTATTTCTCGACATTGAGGCGGCATTCGACTCTGTTGATCGTAAGGTTCTATGGCAGTGTTTGTCACTGAAAGGAGTACCAGAGAAGTACATTAACCTTATTCGGGCTCTCTACTCGAACACAACTGGTCAGGTGAGAGCTTATGGCGAACTGTCATCAGAATTGATTACATCAAGTGGTGTTCGTCAAGGCTGTCCACTCTCTCCATTCTTGTTCAACTTTGTCATTGACGTACTTTTAGAGATAACACTCTCCTCATCTAAATTTCCAGGGGTTGAACTTCTACCGGGATATTCACTTGTTGACTTAGAATATGCTGATGACATAGTTTTATTTGGTGAAGACGCTGACAAAATGCAGAGTCTTCTGACCACTCTAAGCAACAATGCAAGCATGTTCGGAATCCGATTCTCTCCCTCGAAATGCAAAACGTTGCTTCAGGATTGGGTTACATCGACACCCGAACTAGTGATAAGGAGTGAAGTAGTTGAGTGTGTCGACCGCTTCACTTATCTTGGAAGTCTCATCAGCCCTTGTGGTCTGGTGTGTGACGAAATCTCAGCACGGATACAGAAGGCTCGACTAGCTTTTGCCAACTTGCGTCATTTATGGCGTAGGCGAGATATCCGTCTATCAACCAAAGGACGGGTTTACTGCGCAGCAGTACGTCCCGTCCTACTTTATGGCAGTGAAACATGGCCGGTAAGAGTAGAGGATATTCGTAGGTTACTAGTATTCGATCATAGGTGTCTTCGAAACATTGCTCGTATATGCTGGGACCATCGAGTAAGTAACACAGTTGTTAGGAAACGGGTACTAGGTAAGGATGGAAAATCAATTGATGAAGTAGTGAAACTTCATCAGTTGAGATGGCTGGGACACGTGTTACGTATGCCCAACGACCGACTGCCTCGACGTGCGATGTTCAGTGGTATAGGAATAGGTTGGAAGAAAGCTAGGGGCGGCCAGACCAAAACATGGCACAGGTCCATGAAGTCACTGACAAGTGGTCTGAGTCATGTTGATAGGTGTAGACTACCTGGTTGGGGACCGCGAGATGATAGCAACCGATGGTTAGAGACCCTGAATGACATGGCTCAAAATCGTTTGCAATGGCGCAGGTGCATCCACTCTTTGTGTTCTCCCAAATTCTAATCTTCTGAATTCTTCATGTCCCCTTCTTTTTTCCTCCTTGTAAATTTATTTCACTGAATTATACTCTTTAAATAACATCTCCAAACCCTAATCTTCCTGATCACTGCTTACACTCTTGCTACCTCTACCACTACGGGATTTAGAGCGACAACTGCATCTCTGTGTTAAGGTGGTGTGGCAACTCGAACTGATGTACGTACGTACGAAGTTCTACGTCGTTACTGACTGACTGACTGACTGACTCATATCATCGACTGACTTCAACTAGAGATATATAAACAAGCTTTTTGGCACATATACGTTAATAGTTTAAGCATTTTATTAACATCCTTACTGGGTGGGTACAGAATATGTGTGTGTCCAATTAAATGGTATATAAAAATGTAAAATGCACTGATAAGAACAATCAAATTTCAGCTATTGGGTTAGAAGTTCGTAACTTGACTTTGCTTTATTCAGCTTGGATCGAAAATTTATAGCTTGAAGTCAAATTGGTGAATACTTGGTTACTAACAAATGGTTAACTTTTGCATTTTCATGAGTAGTCTCATAGGGCAGGGGTTACGAAATTACAACAAAATTAGGTTGCAGGTTAAAATGGACTTCGATTTAATCATCTGAATGATAACTGTGACCCCTCGATTATAAACTGTGGCGGCATATAGTTTCATAAATTACTCAGTGATCAAATATTAATTCATAAGCTACTCCAAAATTTAGTTCTGCTTTCGAACTACCATAATATATTTGGGGGCTGGCAGCAACACTCATAAGATCAGGACCGTTGTGCAATGCCATTACTGATTGAAGAAATTGGCATTAATGTCTTTTGATGTTTGGTATACTGGAAAAATGATAGAGAACCCATGTACAACGAATAACTAATATATTTTCCAAGTGGCGAAGCAAATTCGACCAACACATATCTGTGCCGGATTTTATATGGCTTATGAGTGACTGATATTTTGAAAATTGGGTTTTAATAGAGGAAAAGGTATCTAATCCCCTCAATGTACTAATGATATCGTCAAATTTGTCCGTCAGACTGCTTTAGAAATGAACTGTTTATTCTGACATCAACCTTCTTAAAAATGGATATGCTTAATTTAAAAAATTATGCGAGTTAGTTTACAAAACTCCATAGTTTTTAAGAAAATATCATAAATAAACCTTCAAATTTGGTATAGCTCTGAAGAGGCCAATCCGATAAAATCCATGCAGCTAGTCTTTGCATAACATACTATAGCCATCAGCCTAAATGGGCCCCAAATGAAGTGTAAATTGCTCTGAATAAACAATTCGATGTGCGTATGTTAGTTCACTTGTATTTACGGTATGTTACTCATCGCGTCCTTTCCTTTGCGACATTCGAGGGTATCCGTTATCATGGTTTATCAAAGGACAAAAAAGGTGAGTTTCGACTATTTTATACATTTTTTCATTTCAATGACTTTCTCATATCTATCATTCAGTGTAAGAATTTAAGTCGTCTTATCGACGGTCAAGATTTCACGTTGCTATTGTTACTATCGTATTCGTCGATCAAACTTTCTTTTTAGTCAATAATTCCAGCTCCATAATGAACACTCCCACCAAAGTATCTACTTAATTTAGTTTTCTTTTTTACAAAATACGAGTTTCAGTCAAGTAAGTATACTCATCAATTCAATGTATCAATAGTTAGCGAGCATTATACAAATATAAGCATGGAGCTTGATCTAAAAAATAGTCCATAAACTTAGAGTTAACTTTACCTTATCTTTCAATATTTTATTCTCGAATGCATATCGATTGATTAGGATATTATGAAAAGCACTGGGTGTGCTTACTGGAGAGTAGGAGGATAATAACTCATCGTCAATACTCTTTGCACGGTTACGACAATGATTAACACATTCCATATTATTAATTTGTTCCATATTCAACGTGCATTTTTCAAATCCAATTTGAAATACGCCATATTCTGTTAGTTCAATAATCAATCCTTGTTGCAGAAACAACTATGTGAATATAATGTAAAACATCAGTAGGAATTACTGATACTGATATGAATTATTTTTATTTATTGGCCAAAATGTTGAAGAGTTTTAAGACTTTTATAGCCAATGGGCTTTCCATACAATTCTAACAGCGTTCATAGATTTAATAGGAAATTTTCATTGAATGTAAAACGATGTGGGTTGAAGAGCTACCAAGTTCCAGCCACTGAGCGGTAATACGCCTTTTGATAACAAGGTATGAACCTTAAATTGACTAAGGATGTGTATGTGTGTGCAGAGTGCTAAAAATTCTCAGATTAGAGGAGAAATAACTCTAAGATATTCTATGATTTTCACTTAATATCGGTTAGCAAAATGGCTTATCACTAATAATAATTATCATTGTAATTGCCTCATTGAAGTATTATATGTTTGGTTTTGTGATACAAACAAGTTGTCCGTAGATATGTAAGGAAAATCTTTCCATTTTATTAACTTATGTTGTTTCTTCATAACGACTGAATAGGCAACTGAATCTCCTCTGTGTACTAATTGTAAATTAATTATTTTTTTTCACAAAATCATATAAGGAAGGATATAAATGGGTGAAAAGATAGCAAAAGACACTATATGTATATGCCTCAATACAATTATTTTGTATATGAATTAAATTAACAATTCAAACCGTTTAATCTGCTGTGAAAAATCATTTCACTAATGTCATAAGAATGGAGATGTCACAACTTATAAAACTAACTGGCACATTGAATCAATCATATAGATACAATTAATTGATCCCCGTTAATCTACTGGCAAAAAAGGTTAAGTAAAAAAATCCTTTGCACAGAATATTGCAACATATTTATATTAAAGTCGGATGGTGGTTAACAGTGGAATTCAGGACGTATGTTCCGTCACATTTAGAACTTGTCAGGTGGATGCACCTGGTTCCCAGTATCCATGTTATCATAACGGGTACAAACACATCCAGCTAACGAGTTCCAAATAGGACGAGTCATGAACTTTATGTCAATCATCGGAGTAATCCGCTCAAGAAACAATAAGAGACTGGTTGATTCCAGTCCTTGACATGAATAATGGAAAGATACAAAAGCTTTCAAATAAGGAATGAAAGTATTTCTCTTTATTACATGCACTTTAGTTGTGACGATGTAGAACGATGTAATAAAGGAATTACTACAACAGGGATTATCTGCCATGTATAAACATTTAACTCGGAAATTTTCCGATTCGTCTCCTTACTCTTAAAGCCTTTTTCCGTGTTAAATAAACTATTTGTAGGGCATTCTCACTGTGCTTTACAATCACAAATTTCAATATGGCTGTATTTTATTTCTCCAAAAGATAGGTAAGGAAGGAAATATACTAATCACTGAAGTTGCCATTTATGATATTCAATACCGTAATTGTTTTTAAGCATTTTATAAAAATAGTCAATGATGACTGGGAAATCTGTAAATGATACATTTTAAAGGATAACATTTACACACCTGTCTGAAGAGTTTTAATTGTTCTGAATTTTCATTGGCACCTGATTCCAGTTTCAGTGATAAATTTCCTTGTTTTAACAATAAACGAATTGAACATCTTGGAGGTGAATTAATTGAATCGTTATTATTATTATTATCCACGCTAACTCCATGTATGCTACTACACAGAGAAGAATTCAATGGATTTATGTTTTTATGGCCGCCAATTTGATGCCATAAGTGAATAAATAATTGTTGAATATTTGATGGAATAATGAGTCTCCAATTTTTTAATAAAGTAGCATTGGCATATAACCATGGATAAATATTACTAGCTGTAGGCTTTAGTTTTGTTAGTCCAGCCGTTGGATCACCACCAAAACTTAGGAAAACTGACCATAAATAATCAGATTGTACAAATTTATTATGTTGTTTTTGGTCAGGTTCAGCACGAGATGAAGCGATGGAACAATGAAATGATTCTTCTGGTTTTATAAATAATTGAAGTGATTTAAATACAATCCAAAAACGTGTTTCTAAATCCATAGCATCTAAAAAACATTAAAAAAGTAACTTATTTACCAAGTGTACATTTGTGTCCTTAACTCTAAGCCATATAATCTTTATGAGGGATTGTGATACAAACTGATTATAATAGCTTGACGTCGGTTAGGCAGGATTTGGATTGAGTACTTCAAATGTTGAGTCACTGATTCGCCTTTTTTATTATATAGCTTACATATTTATATAATGATCACTTGGAAATAACTAAGGTTACAACAGATTAAGGATTTCTGAGTTTGTAACCACTGATATTATGTACAATACGAGTTTAAACTACCTCAATTTATATTTACTCACACACTTTAATCGAAGTCGTTAGTGAGCACTGAAAAGTAACCATATTGTTGTTGACAAATTTATCTGTGACTTGTGAAATAATGACTATATAATAAGAGAGCTCTACATAAATCGACTGTCGAATAAAAATACGGGAGAAAGCACTGTTAGTGATTGTCGTTCGAAACTTGACGAATTAACGAGTGCCACCAAGTAATTAGATGCAAAATATTGGTTTGTGGATTAGAACACGACTATGAACTATTAAGGTTACATGTTTTAACCACACCCCATTTACTTTGGTATAGTTAGCTACGTAGTATCACTAACTCTACATATTAAGAATTGTGGCTCAAAACCGAGTGCACCGATGCATACTTTAAGAAACTTTATTTGCTACTGAACGTTAATAAAAAAACAACGATAAGGTTTTGTCTAATATACTTCGAAAAGTCAATAACTGTTGGACTGAGACATTTCAGGAGGTGCAGACTTTGTAGTTCGGGTCCTCGAGACACTTGTAATCTATGGTTGAAGGGTATGATTTGAAATCAGTCGTAGAAGTACATATGAATTTGCTCTAAACCACTAGTTGTAATATCATTTCATATTTATTAATGATTTATTTAATGTGACCATTTTGAACAATACTTCGTATATATAGTTCTTTATTACTACTAATACTATTATTTCGAATTTACTGATTTTGACATGGTTTCTTCGTACTGTGATAATTTGAAATGTGGTGATTAAAAATCTATGTCAAATCCTGCAATGTTTATAACTGAATGACTTTGTTTAACTAAGATTTCATACGTAGTGGTACTGACCCAGAAGTTTACGCTGGCTGTGAAAACCTGAATTGATGTAAGTAATTGCAGTAGAGGAGACATTATCGTTGAACAATATAAAATCAGATAAAAATAAGGACGATTTTTGGTTTATAGAAATCATCTTAGTGATGCATAGGATATACGTTCAACAATCCATTGCTTATAAATATAAACATATGCTTCATCTGATAGTGATTATCATCATTCTAAGCCAATATAATTTAATCAACAAGTATAATGATAATGTATTCTCTTGTGAGCTCTACTTTATACGTGAAACCTACTGATATGACTAAACTACTTGGAACGAATCAAGAAAAGCAATCCCACTCCCACTTGAGTTACTACAGTTGGACGCAAGAGGCTCCATATAATGTCCTCCAGGAGCGAAGGGTGATACAGTGAGGCAATCAGATGTCCGTCAATGGGAGCTTTCCTCTCATTCAAGTAGTTGGTTGGGTTTGTAGAGCTTATCGATAGTATCAGGATTTAAAAACCCACAATATAATATAAAGAATAGTTCTGTTACACCCTAGTGAAGGTTAAATTACAGGAAACTTCCGAGGACCATTAATGGACTAATATTATATAAATATTCTTATGGTATAATTATTCAATAATTATATTCTGTATATTTATATTCCCCTTATTATAAGCTTCATTTTGACCCATAATTTATTATTATACGATTTACTGTCCCTAAATTATGTTCAGCTTATTAACTACTGCCTTCCACGTTCACAGCCACTTTTTGGCTTTATTGTGTACAAATGCTATTTCCTATTTTATGGTGCGTTGCGGTCTGTTTGTTTGATATATAAACACAGTATGTCTGAAAAACATGGTTCGCATATTGAAGCTGGTACTGGTGTTCTGGACTCAAGTGAATGGGCTAGGCGGACATAGGACCAATAAGGACACTAGACTGCTCATACCAGTCGAACGTCATTGGTTTTGGCACAGTGCTAAGATTGTATAAGTCGTATTTTGATTGGTGGATAAGTTGCGTGATAGAAAGCCGGACATAAAGTCATAATAAGTTCGAGCTCCTTATCTAGCTTCTATAAAACTTGCATTATATTGACTACAATTAAACGAAATCTTTATTAATATATCGTTCAGTTATTTTATTATTAATCAATTTTGTAGTTATGCTTACCCGCTTCAAATGAAAATCCAGCCAACTGTATGAGTACACTCGATATATTTGACTTTTTCCATTGACGAAATCTATCATGATCAGCAATATTTTCCTCTGATTTTGGTTCTTGATACTTTTCCGTTGCTGCTGTCAAACCAGTAGTAGTAGTAGCTGCAGTGGGAGTATTCGATGTATATGGTGCAAAGACATCTACGTCTAACAATTCTGAACCAATCTCATCTGGACTTAATAGAAATGATGAAGAGTTGACCAGATGCTGGTGATTGAGAGGTGGCCATAGCATATCGTCAGTTTGATATGTACATGATGAATTCAAATTAGATAAAACTTCATATGGCTTAGTCCAATCATCCATCGAACTGGATATACTTTGTAGATCAGATAAATCACTGGAAATAGAACACTGTTGACTTATATTATTTTTAGATGAATTGTTTGCCCAAACTCCATCCTAAAGTGAGTAGTTAAATTAAAAACAATAGCGTGTTACCACTGAAAAGAAATCTACAGTAATTATTTTTACTACTTATCCATGTTGTACGTAGTTAAAACACTACACAAGGACTTGACGGGACACTTAGATTCATCTGAGATAACCATGAGTTGATAGGTCCTCGTTTTGAATCTGTGTGAGAATGACGGAAGCCAAACAACTTGCATAAACTGTGAATCAGTATTTAACCGATGTGAAAGTAGATCAGCACAGCAAGAGCAAGGTTGATAATGCAATCTGATAACACTGTGTTGTTGAAACAGAGTGATAATAATAAAGGTTTACTTCACCTATAGAAAATCGACTGAATAAGATGTCCCAGGATATATCAACATATATAGCTCCCCGTTCTAAAATGGCCTTGAGCGTGAAAGATTACGTCTAATGTTATTTCCTCGTTATCTGAATAATGAGCTTTGGAAAATAACTTGATCTTCTTTTTGCTACCTTCATTTAAGATCCCAAGGTGTTTCCAGTCAAACTCGTATTCCCCGTGGTGGAGATTTGATTGATCATTTTTGTCATCAACTGGCGGACATTGGAAACTGAAGTTACTGGATAGCTGTTTCGTTATGATATGCGAATCTAAATCCAAACGCATTCATGGCTACACACAAAACTGTATTCAAAACTTTCAAGTCCATCCACGAGAATGTAGTCAAAAACCAGTGGTTCACATTGCCAACTTTATTCATTTTCAGAGACAGAACGATGATAGTTTATTGTGACTGATGAGAACGGTTTTGCTTCTGATATACTTGAAAAGAACACCTTATCCCAATCCATAACTTCTCATTAAAAAAGATACACTTATTTAGGAGATAAGAAAGTAACCTTTTATAACAACTTACCGCAACAGGATTAAGCATAAAAAGATCTTGTTCAGAGAGAGGTTTATTTTGTGACTCTTTGTTTCGATCAACCGCACTACATTCATTTTTTTTATTGACAAGCGTAACTGTTGAGTGAGTTTTACGTTTTATTAAAAACCTTTTGGGTGATGGTAAATCGGAATTTACTAACTTATTCGTACATCTAATACTGTTATTATTAATGCTATCAGTAGTTCCAATACTACAATCACAATCATTTTGTAATAAAGATTGTGGACTATCATCTGAGGAATTAATGCGCCCACGCATTGATCTCCGAAGATTAGTTCTATTCAATTTACTACTGTCCAGCACAGAACCTTCGGTTTTTAATGATAACGAATCCCATGAAGGTGTAACCATGGAATGATGATGGCGAAATGATGTCTGCGACGACAACGGTAGCACTGTGGCAGCAGAAAGCGGAGTAGGATTATGTGAGAATTTTGTTAAGGATGATGGTGATGATGACGATGACAATAAAGTAGTTGATAAATATTTATTCGGAAAAAAACTGACACTTGTAGCAGATACATTTGGAGTATTCGGTAGACTCGTGTCAATATTATTCTCCGTGAAACTAGGAGACGATACTTGTTTCATACGAATTTCATTTTCATGACAAACATTTACGTCCAGCTCAATTGATCGTAGTGTGGAAAAACCTACACAATATAACAATTTATGGTGATTATGATTTGATTGTGCACTGATTGATATTGTGGATCGACTTTCGGTGATTTGTGTAAATTCTTGATAGTCTAAGTACAAACGTGTTTGTACATAAGAAATTTGCTGATATATATAATACAAAAATATGATTTGATCTAATGTGTCAGGAATTCTCGGTTTTTCACTGTTCATCGTAGAAAATTTGGTAAGGCGTGATAATAAAATACGATTAGTGTATAATTGATCTGTAGAACCTAAAGAGATTTTGATTGGACATTGATCTACTGATTGGTTTATCATATGTGAGGATGATGATTTTGAATCCATAGGGATTAATTTATTATCAATATCAATTATTAACGATATTGGAGAATGATTGAATGGTTGATTATTGTTGATAACTGTTGAAGGCACCGATATATTAATTGGCATTAATGACCATATAGTCAAAGGAAGAGATTCAATTAATGATTGACGGTATATTATACAATCATTGATTCGATGATCGTTGTTAACAAGATGGACAGAATTATGTGTCGTCATATCGATTATTGTAAGAAATTCACTCCATACATTTGGACAATGAATGCACCAAAATTGTTCTTCGAAATTCTGCGAAAAGTTTTTAAAAAAATACATAAGTATATAATAAATGAGATTTTTAATGCATGTACATGTTTATGTACTGAGCTTGTAGTATACTTTTAAATCGCTATGATAATATTACTCAACTTTCGAATTAAAGGAATTGGAGTAAAAATTGCCCTTGCAACTCAGTTTTATTGATAGTTGAATGATTCAATCAATAAGCCGTTGTTTCACACAAAAGTCAGAAGATTAGGCTATATAAGTAAAGGACAAATGATTTTGACTAAATTTGAAAACTATGAAATAGATGAATTTTTATTGTAATGATTCTAATCTAATGGCTGGTAAATGACCTAGAAAATCCTAATGATGATTTACACTAAAAGTTTTTAATCATGTTTATTTTGTGATAAATAGCTTGTGTACATAAGTTTGTCATTTTTACTACATAAAATGGTCTATACGTTACTCATGAAATATTTTATTGATATTAGTTTATAGGAACTAAATTTAAATCAGTCCGGATTTTGAAAATAGCCATCACAAGATTGAATTTTTCATTATCAATTCAAGTGGTCGATTGTAGTCAGCAAAATTAAATAATCTTTGAACCATAATGCTACCCTAATGTGCAGAAATAGATCATTTTCGAAAAAAGCATTGCATAAAGACCATCACATAGTGGAGATCTTGACTCATAAATTTGCCAGATTTAATTCACGCATGAAGGAAGAATTAATTAGCTAACACTACCTTCCCATACGTCTAGAGTGAGTTCACTGTGAATATATACACTTCAGATAAATCGGGAATAAGGCCGAACTTTAGTAATCTAAACCTTCATATGAAAAACACAATGTTGATTTGTGAAAATTCATTGGTTTATTTTAAAGGAGAATCAACATCAAAAAGTGGTGTTAGTGAAATCTATCAAGTTGGAAGAGCAACACAAACTTCCGGGTGACGCTGAATGTGATTAGTGTAACATAGTAAACTAACACAATTTGGAAGCGAGGACTAGTAATAGTGGCGTGATAACGTAGACGCATCGTACTCACTATGAGAACTGAAGATGCTAAGTCTAATAATCGCTCGTTTTCAACGGTTATTCGATTTAATCTATTATGAAAGGGAGTTCGGACCTGAGATCTATTCTCTCGAGAGCCAAGTGCATTAGTGGCAAACTACCACTTCGTAAAACACTATCTTAGAAGATGAGAGCTAGTTCTAAAAGACGATTTTCACAGCTAACTTGATGATATACGATTGTTTACTCTTTTAAAGAACATATATGAACCATAACTGTAAGCACAAACATGTACGTCATTCACAATAAAACAAATTTACAAAGAATGAATCAAATATTGTTTCACACCTTAAAACTTACGGGACATAAACTATGTAATTCTGTAGCTGACTGAACTAGTTTTTGGAATTTTGACAAATCCGGTGATTTGTGTGGAACAGCTCGAGAAATGAATGGATTATTACTCATACAACTGGTGTCATATTGACCATAACTCAATTGCAAATTGTCTAACAGCTTTTTCAAACAATCAGCGACATGTGATGATATAGGAGCTGCTAGTGACTGTACGATAATTTGATCTGACTGAAAGACAATAATTTTGGGAAAAAGCAAGGGAAATAGGAAAATTTGTTTCATACGCTCATCAGAAATCATAGAGACAGTGCAGAAGCTATCATCAATACGTATCGATTCGAGCTACCTCTTAAGCCTACTTCAAATCACATCACATAACGTTAAATTGTATACTCCAATTGTTCTACAGAGTTCAACTAGAAATTTTGAATACCCTGAAATGAACCAGTTCAGTAGTTAGAAAGTTTGCAAAACGATATCATAAAATGATCTGTCCGCCCATAGCTTTTGTCAAATCCACTTCCATGGTAGCCAGTATATCATCTCCAGGTAGACACCGATTTGGCAAATAACAACAAATATCCCTTCATTTGGTAGATGAACATTCACAACGTAGTTCAAAATTTACTATCTTCATTCAGTGTTTCGAAAGCAGTGGATCACTAGACACTATCACTCAAGTATTTTACGAGCAAAACAGTCAAATTGAGTGACTCTTTTGAGTAATAGATTATAAACATGACTTGTTTGTTAAAAGTATTTAAAATCGTCCTCTAACGTCTGGTGGCAACTGAAGTTAAGTCATTACAAAATAATCAATACAGTTTAAAAAATACATAGTATTAGTCATAAAATAATAATTAATTACTTGTAAAATAAGGGCGTGTGGTCCAATCCAATTGGATGAATTCGTATGACGATTGGACTGTCCAAATAGTGAGAATATCAACTATATTTTAAAAAAAGTAATACGTGTTAGATCATTTAAAAAATACAATGAGTTCAAACGAAACTTTCAATACTGATCAACAGAGAACAATAGTAATCTGAATCAAAGACCAGAAGAGGTTTACAGTTGTGGTCGACCGAAACAATAAACGTGATCATATATTTTAGACGGAACAGCCTGGCAGAGACCATTTAAAATGTTAGACAACAATTATTAGTACCCGATCCCAATTGAGGTATTATTAAAAGTCAGGAAGCACTAAACAACTCTCTCGTCATGGTATGGGGCTCCTAGCAATTCTCACTGACGACACCACTAGGAATCGGCGTCGGAAATACATACCCTCAGATATCAGTCTGGTTGTCTAATAATCAAGTACTCGCGCTATACATTTCGAACAATCTGGCCACACATATACTTGTCAGAGCATTTTTATGTGAAAATACTAAAGGTCAAACAAATAAAAGTCCAATTAAAACAACTAAGGGGAGAGAAAGAATAAGAAATTGTCGCGTTATCCTAGGCCATAGAATGACTTAAGGATTACCAAGGTAAATTCAAGGTTACGACAAATTGTTTTTGTACACATAAGGGGGGTTTAAATTTACGAATAGCCAAGGCTTCAATAAACTTAAGAGTTCGTCCTTGACAATCTCTATACAACGTTCTAAATGCTGTATTAATGTCAATACTGTGCCCCGTCTCAATTATATGTTTCGCTATCGATGAACTTGGTTTTCTACCTCCTACATTGATCGGATCATTTGACTCACATTGCTTTTGAAGCCATCTAGGCACATGTTCATTGACCCTTGATTGCATTGTTCAATTACTCCTCCCTATGTATGTGTGCCACACAAACATGTAAATTGGTAAATACAATGGGATGTGACGTAATCATTAGTGCATTATTCGGGTCTATTAGGAATTATGGCCTTAGACTTTTCAATCACAACCAAAAAATCTTTCCCCTTTTTCCTATTCCGTTACCATTTTTGAAAGAATTACTTTTATTATGTACTGCTAATGTTCAATTTACGTTTGATGGTGAATATTTTCGACAAGTTGATGGTGTAGCTATGAGTAGCCCTTTGGGACCTCTCTTAGCTGAGGCATTCAAGTCATATGTGGGAAATATGACGAGCGACCTTATTAGTGAGATAGCTCTATATAGAAGATATATGGACGATATCCTGATTATATGTGATAAGGATTTTGATGTTTACCGATTATTGGATAAACTCAATGGTGTTCAAAACGATATTGTGATGACACATGAATCAAAAAGTAATGGCCAATTAGCCTTTCTAGACATACTCTTAAGTCGATGGGATGATGGCACTTTTAGACGGTCAGTGTATAGGAAACCAACTTGGACGGGACAATACTTAAATTTCCATAGTTTCTGTCCATTGCAATACAAGAATGGTCTGGTTAAGTCTCTTTAAGAGGACTCAAAGAATATGTACCTCTGACATGGTGGGAAAAGACGAAAAGTTACTGACTGACACATTAATAGCAAATGGTTATCCACTCAAATTTATTAATAGGTGCAAAAGTCAGTGAATGCCACGACCTCTAATTTATTCAGTGCCAAAGAAAATAGTTTATATCAATCTACCATATAGAGGTGAATCTAACAGTATAGTTTTAAGGCAGAGATTGAAAGCAGCTATCGAGAATACCTATTATGCTGCTCAGTTGGCTGTGATTGAAAAGTCTAAGGCCATAATTCCTATTATTATTTATTTGTTTGACCTTTAGTATTTTCATATAAAAATGTCCTGACAAGTATATGTGTGGCCAGATTGTTCGAAATGTATGACGCAAATACATCACATTTTTCAGATCAACTCCGTCTTCTCATTATTCTATTGAAATTTATAAAAAGGGACTAATTGCTTTAAATCAAGTACTCGCCACAAGACCTCAAATCCCAGATTCTATTCTTGACGGGGTTTTATGTAAGAAAAATTATCTGCTTAGTATTTCCTGGTCTTCAATGATGACCCAGGCTGAAATCGATTCGTAACGAGTATTACCTACAAACCAATCTCATTTCAAACTTCAATTATTATATTATTTCAATTTCATTCTGGAATGCTGTTAACTACTATCAATTGCATTTGTCATTAGGTAAGTAGCGTATTCCATGTAAAGCATTTCAACCTTTTTCATTTTCTCTACTCAACAGGATTGTTATAAGTATTATTTTCACCCTACTCTTGTTCAATAATAACGGAACTCTAAACGGTTTAGTGATTAAAGCATTTAATTTCCAATTAGTATGCAGATTAGAACACAGTTCCGTCTGTTTGGCTTGACAGACTAGACAGCATCATTATACACTACAAAACTAAATAACGGATACACGAACCTGAGCACAGAATATGAGTTACCCTTTTTACTTCCATAACGGATACACAAACTTACCAACATCTGGATGTTACAGTAAATATTATGAAAACCAAAATCATCATATTGTATTAAATAACCAATTCACTTAGTCAACAATAATTTAAAAGATATATATATATATATATATATATATATATATATATATATATAGTGGTCTTGTACTCTACTAATATATAACGTAATGATACTGCCAATTAGAAAAGTGACTTATCAACCGGACCAATGACGCATAAACCCGTACGAACAATCTAAAGTCCTTATCGTTCCTTCTTCCTGTCTAGCCCTGTCTGTTGAATCCAGAACACCAATCTCAGCCTCTGCGATATGAATCATATAATCCAAACATACAGGATTTATATACAAGCCAAACAGACCACATCACATCATAAAATAGGAAATAACATTTGTACAAGATCTAGCCAGAAGTGGCTGTGATTGTGGTAGACTTTAATTAATAAACTGGGGATAACCTAAGAATGGTAACTTGGATAATAATAGTCTATAAGTCAAAATAAAGCATATAATTAGAAGAACATGAATGTACATAGTTTAATTACTTAACAATTATACAACCAAAATATGTGTATAGTATTAGTCCATAAATAGATCCCAACAGTTACCATACATTCATTCGTTCGGATATAATGGGAGTATTTGTATGTCAAATATTTACTGTGATCAAGTTGTCGAATATTTACAATTATACAGATATATTACAATGAAGAATAAATAATATTCTGAAAGATGGTTACTATATAAAAATGGTTGATATAATTGAGTAACCTAGTGTACAAGGCTCATGTATTCGAATTCAAGAAATATTGTTTGTATGAGGAACTAATGACACAACTAGACTGATCAAAACGAGTTTATCAGGGCAAATGTTGAACTCTAGAACGTAATAAATGAAAATCACATAATTTTATACCACCAAACAGCTACACTGTATTTATGGTAAAAGTAGTCTATGTTTTGTGAACTAAACTGACAAAAAATTATGGTGATTTGAACTAAAATTATATCCTATTATAATGAATCACCTATTTGAATAAATCAGTAATCAGGAAATATATTTTCTATCGAGTAAATGACTTAACAAATTACCAAACGATGGTGATTTTTTGAAGTACGTTTCTGATAAGAGCAATGATAATAATCGCTTGATTTAACATCATATACAGACCCCCCATCATATGGGCAAACTAAGGCCATAACCCTTAGTTTTGCAAAACTTAGGGTTTACTGATCTTCATATTTACTTCAAATCCTAAGTTGCAGAAGTTCACCCGCCACATTATCGTTCGCACTATTAAAAGGATAATCAAGCGTAAGACTCGTCCAGGTGATACCCAGAATGATTACCAAACATTTTGGGGACCAGTAGGAATCTCATGGAGTTAAATTTGATTAAGAGAAAGGGTAGTTCTACGAACTGATTGAACTATAGACTAGAAATATGAGGACTATAACTGGTGAAAGGTCTACTCAATAAATACACGAAATGGTTTGAGGTAATCAATCATGGGTTTAACTAAACCAACATCCACCACAACTGTAGGATATTTCAAAGGAGATACAATCAATGTATTTTAAACTCTATGAAACAAAATTCTGAGCTTTTATTTGACGGACTGTGTATGCTCATTCACGGTGAAAAATTATGAGCGCAAAATGTGCAATGTTACTACAAGTTCAGGTCATATATCCACTTAATTTGTGAACAGCTTGTAAACTTTTTATAAAGCCACGTAGGCACGTATTTCATTTACACAATTTCATAATATCAGAGGTTGGAAAGTTCAACTATTAATGCTTAGAAATAAACATAGAATCTTACTAGATGATCATAAATGTAGAAATAGTAAGCAAAACACTTTGAAAAATTCTACTTACACGAGGCATCAAAGCTTCAAGTCGTACATGATATCGACTTAAATCAAATAGTCTGTTAGATTGTTTCGACGGATTGTTCTTATCTCTGCCGGATAAGAAAGTTGACTAAATAAATATAACAAAAATGAGTTCTGATTTAGCAAAAAGTAAAAATTGAAAATAATTACAAAGTAGCACTATGAAAACCGAGAAGTAAGAAACTTAGATATGCTTCACATAGGTTGACAAAGTATATATGCTTAAAAAGAATTTCACCGATAGAAATTCAATTACCCCCAATCACTATACAAGATCAAGAGTCAGACCGAAGTAAGATACAATGAAAATAAAGAGGGACATAATGACGGATCAAAGGTCAAAGATAGATCCGCTTAAGAATTAAAAGCACCTCAGATAGTCCGTATTTGTAAACGTTTACATGTATAAATTACAATAAGTTGAAAGCTATTGATTTATTCAAACAGTTTTACATTGTGTCAACAATTGCAGCCTTGAAGTTAATAGTGTAAATCAATAACAGTATGTTTTACTTATTGACGATTAATACCGAACAACACATAAATAAATAAGAACTGTGATTAACGAACAAAACATGTACCAGTAATATATAAATAAATCAACTATTTTATAACTAACTAATAATCTAGTCAAACTAATTCTAGGTAGTAAGATCAAAATTCATGATTTGTTTTTGTTGTGCTAAAGGTCCTTCAGTGCAACGATGTGAGGAATAAAATCGGTCTTACAAATGCTTGGAGCTCAGATTTTACAGATATACATTAAGTATGTATGCATTTGTTTTATGTTTACTATTGATTAGCTTGGAGAAGAATCCCAAGACGTTCTAGTGAGAATAGCTAATATGGGTTAAAATATTAAAGATTCTCATTGTGAAAACTAGAACAACACATATAAGCGAACAATTGTTTTCAATTAGACCGTCATCAGGTTTTACTTTAATATACATGAATATTTATACCAAAATGTTAAACCAATCATGGCAATATGGGTCAATATCCACAATGAAGTGGAATAGTTCACCACACATAACAAGTAAAAATACAAGTCTTAATTGGTTTAACATTTTCGTAAAGCCTGATGACGATCTAATTAAAAACAATTGTTCGCTTATGTGTTGTTCTAATATTGGCTAGGCCTAATTTTATCGTTATAACTACCGAGATAATTGATGGTATTGACTGATAGTTGTACAATAATGCGAATTGGTGTTTGAAAAATCGAATCTCAACTCAGTGAACTAAAAGGTAACATGATAACTACAAAACATCTAGGTCCTGAGTTCGAGCTCACTTAGTGTTGCAGACATGCTTTACTAAGGACTGTACAAAACTTGAAAATAATAGTCTGATGGTTTGTGGTTTTTGAACGATTCTGCAGCTAGAAAACATTTTATTCAGAGTAAGAATTCTATTCGGCAAGTTTAATTTCAATAGTGTACAATCGTATATGTTTGTGACACATTGCAGGTCTACGAATAATTCTGTTGGTTAGAAATTGATTAGGTATTAAGTGAAATTAAACCACATGTTTTTAAACAAACAAATAAAGAGGGAATTTATGAAACATTAAAAATATTCAATTAATAGAGTGAACAGAGTAATTAGAAGCATCGTTAGGTTGAAATGAAGATATGTGCACGGTGATCCAGCAATCGACATCGAAACATTTGTGACAATAATAATGATAACTAATTCTGTAGATATAGGAGTAAAACAGTGAAAAGAAATTGAGCAACCAAACAAAACAAATCCATAAACTAACGGTATATTAACGAAAGGTTGATATCAAGCAAGTTATTTTTGCACAAACAACGCGGACCATACTTTATGGATGGGTAAGGCTTCTATAAGAAAAAATTGGTTTAGATGTATATCTGTTGGTGTCTTTCACTAGATTTTATAAATGATGACAAAGGACAAGTCGGAGGTTGGATGTCCTATGTCTAATAAATATTACAAAATGGATGACATAATTGACATATGTTGTACCTTCTTAAAACATAGTGGTAGGTGCTTCTGAATAGAATGAAGAAATAGTCTAGACGAGAGGCTTGTAACTAATTTTAGTCTGTGATGAAAACCTATGTTAAATAGAACAATTACCTCAATTCCTTTATTTTATTAACATATATACAAGATTTATTAACCATGTATTTCATTCTAAGATTCAACAGTTTTGAACGTACATGACAGCAATACAGGTAAACTCAAGATAATTTTACATTGAACGAAGTATGTGAAATAAATGGGTTTTTAATTTCAAATATAATCTTACTTATGATTATATAACCTGATAGACGCATTCTCAAAAACAGATAGATAGATAAATGAATACAATAATCAGAACAACAGCGGTAGATTAAACTTAACACAAGTAAACAAATATATTTTGGAAGATGGATAGTATTAAGAAAAACAAATCTGGTAGAATTGCTGCGTGCTTTTAGCACAAAAACGCTAGGATAACAACAACATACGACAATGGAACAATAATAATAACGACAACTTTTTTCCAAATAAGGAATTGATATTCAAATAAACAAACCTGAAATCGAAGCTAAAATTAATGAATAAAGAAAAGGGAGGGGGAAGTATGAATGACAAAACAACAGAATACATGAAATGTTTACTAGCTACAATTTTAATGGACTTATTTTTGAGCTACACAATAAGATGATTAGTAATATTCCTACAAAACTAAGCCAAGTAGGATTTGAAGATAGAAAATTACCGGTTAGAAATTGATTGCTTTAACCACACCAACAGAGTAGTAACGAAAATACGATGGTGATTCATCTGAATTAATTAAAATGATAGGTGGAAGTCAAAGTGATATTTATCTTCATCTCAGTGGGAGCAAACAACTTTGGAAACAGCAGTGAGATCTAACAGTAAATTAAACCAAAAGGTGATGATTTCTGTACCATCTATTGAACTGACAAATACTTGGAAACTTATATCGTCAGGTTTCAAACACCATGAGGAGAGAAGTTGGCTTATCGTAGAATGGGAACAAGCTTGCGCAATGATAGTGAGCAGTGGTGGTTAACGAAAGCAAAATTTGAAAAAAACCCAGAAGCAATAGACAACAGTATAAAAACATTCAGAATTATCAGCGAAACATGCACTAAAAGTCGGAAGACCATGGGACTAATATCGACTCTCGATCTAGGATATTGCACCGGTGGGAATAATACTTTAGCGGACAGTTTAACTGACCTTCAGAAACTATTCAATTACCTACTATCTCCAAATAATCTGTATGGCAAATTGACATAAATCCTTTAACTCTTAAAAAGGTTATAGGTGATCTACAGCGAGGGAAAACGGCAAGTCCAGAGAGATTGCGTGAGTCGATCATTCTATTGCTGTTTAACAACTTGAGTCCGTCTTCCAACCAATGGGCAGGTTTAATGAGCGACAGTCCGCTCCGCCCTACTTTATGGAAGTGAAACAGCCATCAAGAATAGAGCATTGCGCGTGAGGTAGTCGGTGTTCAGGCATACGTAACACGCGACTCAACCATCTCAATTGATGAAAATTTACAACTCCATCAACTGATTCACTATGATTCCCTAATACCCTGCGTCTAACCTCACTTTTACTTACCCAATGATCCCAGCAGATGCGAGCAATATTTCTAAGACATCTGTGGTTAAATACTAGTAGCTTACGAATATCTTAAACTCTTAATGGCCACAATTCACAGCCGTAAATTAGAACAGAACGAAATGCTGCGTAGTTTACTCGTCCCCTAAATGATAGACGGATGTCTCGCCTTCGCCAAAGGTGACGTAAGTTGGCAAAAGCTAAATGAGATTTTTGAATCCGTGCTGAGATTTCGTCCGATACCAGCCCATTAGGGCTGATCAGACTTCCAAGATAAGTGAAGTTGTCGACACGTTCGACTACTTCACTCCCTATCCTTAGTTCAGGTGTTGACGCAGACCAGTCCTGAAGCAACAACTTGCATTTAGAGGGAGAGAAGCGCATTCCAAACATTCTGGCATTGTAGCTTAGTGCTACCAAAAGACTGCATTTTATCAGTGTATTCACCAAACAGGACTATATCATCTGCGACGAGAATGTTATTTCCATCAGTAGGTCTATGATGAAGTTAAACAGAAATGGAGAAAGTGGACAGCCTTGACGGACATCACTTGAGGTTGCAAAACTAGATGACAGTTCGCCATAAGCTCTGACTCGACTGGTAGCGTTCGAATAAAGAGTCGTCGCCCCCAAATGCCCTGGTAAGGTCGAGAGTATTATTTATTTCATTTGAACACATAAATATTGGTACAAGAGAGCGCCAATATATATGCGCCACACAAAACAATGAAAATTCGAAGAGAGATAGAAAAAAAACTAAGGAGCGCAAAAGAAAAAGAGAACGATAACGAAGAGATTGGTGTAAGGTAATGTGCTAGTAATCAGGGAACGCAAAGGTACAATCGAAAGAAATCTTTCAGTTAAGGGAGACACAACCACTTTGTATGAAGAAAGTAAAAGAAGGTTACAGCAGGATCGCCACTGGCTTCTATTCTGAGCCATATCTGATAACGTCTCTAGCCACTGTGTAGCACCGTCTCTCAGACCCCAACCTGGGAGTCGTGAAGGACCGACAGAAGCCAGTCCTTTGCAGCTTTCTTTCATCCCACGACACCATGTCATGCACTGACCACCTCTCCGCTTTTTCCAACTAGTCCCAGAATCGGCAAATAATGCACGACGTGGAATTATCTGGGACGACATTCGTAGAGCATGTCCAAGCAACCAAAGTCGGTGTTTCAAGATGGTGACACCAATTGCATTATCATCTCTGTGCCCGAACACACGATGTCGAACCTCTGCATTACTGACATGGTGTTGCCACTGGATGTCAGCAATCCTTCGGAGACAACGATGATCGAACACAGAGAGTCGTCTAACGTCCTCAACTCGGAGAGGCCAGGTTTCACAAGCATAGAGCAAAACTGCTCTCACCGACACGTTGTAGATCCGACCTTTTACAGCCAGACTAACATCACGAAGGCGCCAAAGGTGGCCCAGATTGGCATAAGCCGCTCTGGCTTTTACTATTGATCTCATCACTCACACCACCACCAGCACTTATGCAGCTACCGAGATACACGAACTTCTCGACTACGTTTGTCTGCTCACCATCCAGGGTGAGTACAGGATTGGAATCCTGCCAGTCTTGTAGAAGTACTTTGCACTTCGAAGGTGCAAAGCACATACCATACCTACAGACACTGATTGCCAACTGATTAAGTGCGGATTGCATGCCTCGGACATTATCGCACAGTAAGACAATATCATCCGCATACTCAAGGTCGAGAAGTCTTTCTCCAGGCAACAAATCCACAGCGCCATTACCTACATCCATCAGAGCTGTTTCCAGAATGTCATCGATGGCAAAGTTGAAGAGGAATGGTGAGATTGGGCAACCGTGTTTAACCCCACTGCTCGAATTGAACAATAGAGAGAGGTGGCTGTATGCCCTCACTCTGCCTGAGGTGTTTGTATATAGGACTTTTAGGATGTTAATAAACTTCTCAGGCACACCCTTCTTCAATAGACAATCCCAGAGAACAGTCCTATCCAGCGAATCGAAGGCAGCCCTGATGTCAAGAAACACTACGATTGTTGGCCTTTGATAGGTATGACGGTGTTCTAACATTTGGCGGAGGGTGAAGATATGATCAATACATCCTCTACCAGAACGAAACCCAGCCTGCTCCTCGCGAGTCAATCTTTCTCGGGTTTTGAACAACCTACGAAGTATGACGGAAGCCAATAGCTTGGACGCAATCGGAAGTAGACTTATCCTACGATAGTTGTTACAGGAACGACGTGAACCCTTTTTAAAGATAGGGACAACTATCGACTCATTCCATGACGTTGGTACACTCTCTAGCTACCAGACCTTTGTAAACAACGTCGTCAATTCCTTAGTCAGAAAGTCACCACCATCTTTAAAAAGAGTCGGAGGTAAGTCATCTGGGCCAGGTGATTTGTAACGCTTCAAGAGTTGGAGTTCCTTGCGGACTTCCCCCTCGTTTAGTGGATCAGTCATCACCGGCCATGGAGGGCAGGACAGTCTGACCGATGTTGCCGGAGCAGCAGGCCAGTGGAACTGCCCTTCGAAAACTTCTGCCCATCGTCCAAGACGTCGATGGATGTTAGTGATTGACATCGTTTCTCACGCCGATTTCTTCTCACTTTGATGGAACTTTCTAATCTAACAGCACATAACCGACTGTTAATTAGGATCCAATCGACTAGTGATGCCTCAGCTCTAGCGCTTAGTGCGACACCAACGCCAGCAAGACCAAACGAAGATGCTACAGGGTCCCCGGATAAGCGCACGTAAAACAAGCTTTTTAAAGTGACAGATGGAGATATAAATTGTAGTACTTCACCAGAGTCTTGAATACGGGTCTCGGATAGACAGCAAACATCAATATTAAGACTTTCCAAAGATATAGCCAGCCCTATCTGTTGTCCGACCTGCATAAGTGTGCGAACGTTGAAGGCAGCCAGTTTGAATGGCGCACGTGGTTTCAGAAAAACTGCTTCAGTACTCATATTCGGTGGTAACATACGATTTTCAACCGGACAGTGACTCGAGAACGTTTAGATAGAGTCGAATTTCCACCGAAGACGAGCCGCTGTGTAAGTATAGAAGAGGGTGAATAATGTGGAAAATAATAATAATAATAATAATAATAATAATAACAATAATAATGACAACAATGGTAATAATAATAGTATAGTATAGTATAATAGTATAATAATAGTATTAATAATGACAGTAATTGTAATGATAATAATTTGAATCAATTTATTGTTTTTCGAAGCGAGAAAAGTAATTTCCATAGACATGACGAGTTCATCATTCGTGTGTGGGCTGTGATACTGCCCGGTCGAGAGTGGGGAGAGTCCGCTCTCCCTTTTGAAATGCTCTCACATAGTCACGCGTATACAGCCTCTGCCAGGGAAGTCCTACTCACTGCCTTCTCGTGGCGGGGGTGTTGTTTACGAAATTGAGAGGACGAAAAGCGAATGTCCGGTGCTTTAACCGGATTCCAAATCAATGGTGCACATGGGCTCCAGTATTCTGAGGGAACAAATGGCGTATGAACCAATTGTTGGTCACCGGCTTCCATGGAACTGCATCTCCTTACGATGCTCCACTGCCTTGTGGATGAGACCCTCAGGTCGAAGGCTCCGGGTGTGGCCCCCTAAGAAAACAACCTGTTCCGGTTTGGGCACCAGGCAGTATCACAGCCCTCACACATATCGAATGAGATTTGTGTTGAGCATATGTATTTGGTGCCTCTTTGTACAAATATCTATGTGTTGAAATAAAATTAAAAAAAGAGTCGTCACAAGGTTTAATATAGTTATTTCCATAGATGGTGAAAAATATGGATAACTAATAACAAAAACAACAGATAGGAATAAGTAAACAGTGGCGTTCAATTTATACAAGAAAACTAAGAGTACCATTCGATCAGTTTACGAACCACTGACTGGAAACTAAATGTCTAAATCAATGCGTCAAAGTTTTTTGTAGTTCATAACAAGAGTTGAGAGTCCGGAACACCAAATCTCACGTGATACAGTTGACAATTTAAAAAAGTTTTACAACATTCTCAATATCATTGGACTTGGTCAGATTGTCTAAATCCAAAGTATTTTTTCTGTTGTCAAATCCCTGCTTTTTAAATATCCTTTTCCTAACAAATCTTGTAATAATTACTTAGGTATGGATATCCCACAAGAGGTCAACCACAAACCAAATAGCTCAGCAGTAACAAATTTAACAGCAATAATGGGTGACACGAGTTCGAATCGCATGAGGAGTTCCCTGAAGATTGTAGATACCTCTGGTTAACAAGTGTCAACCAGAATAACACCTAAGTTGGTAGTTGCATACAAATTTGTTTAAACCATAAGACACAAATACAGTATTGACCTCTAACAGTACACAATACAGACATTGTCAAAAGACAACCACAGAAGGAACAACATAGAAATATGAACAACAATAATAAAATGAACTATGCGTCTAATTACCAAGTTTAACTGTAATGCCAATAGAAATATATTCAACCATATAACAGTATCTGGATCGAAATTTATATAAAATGGATTGATTTGACAAAACAATGAACATGGTAAAGCTGAAACAGAAATTGAAGATAATGAGAATAAGAACTCAATAAACGAAATCGAACGTGATGATGGATTGATAAAAATAACAGAAGTAGCTGCGGTAATCTAATTGATAGTTATCTTTAAGAAACAACCTATGAGACACAATTTTTAAGCGAACAGACTCCACGGGACGGTGATGCTGACTAAATATATATAAATATATAATTACAGACATAAAGGGGTCATTGGTGGTATTGAACAATAACTATATTTAAATTCAGAGCTCTGTGATGAAGTGAACATTTCGAAATATGTACAGTGTATTGCATTTATAATCATTAAGTATCGTAAATTACTTGTCAACTATCATATTAGAATCTAATATTGAGCAACTGGCATCAAGATTTGATCTCTCTGTATCACCACTAGTGTGAAATTTAATGGTATCCGGCTAATCAGCTGTAAACAATACAAGCATCAATAAATCTTAGTTGCTACCATTTATATTAGCACAGTAATACGAAGTTAACAAAAGCGAAGCAGTGATCATGGTAATAAAAGACTAAACTAAGCATACTAAACGAAAAAAATGAATTTGAAATAATGAAAACGTATATAATAATATTTTATATTTAACAGTTCGAGGAAGATAAAGAATGAATTAATTAAACAGTAATGTGATAGATTTTGAGTAAGACTGCCCAAAGTCTACAACTATGGGTTAGAATTAGCTGGCGAAATTCAACTTGGACGTCTACGCCTCTCGATACTTCTATTAATGTATCTCATCTAACACATATGTACTCAACTTTGAATAAGACTTTGTTTAGGGGCTAGTGGTGCTACCTAGTTACCTAAACCAAAGTAGATGGGATTTATTAAAAACGTTAAATTCACAAAATATTGATACACTGCTCTTTATTCCTTGATTTTATACATCTGAGTCTCTGTTTTCTGTCACTAAATTTTCTCATACGAGTCGTCCATGACTAGAGACACTATTTACTTATCACCCTTTTGATACGCTCACCGTTTATCGGTATTGACCTGCTTATTTGTGAACAATTGGTTAGCACCTGAGTCCTTTGATCAATAACCCGATCCTTCTTTTACGTGATGAAATGGACCGATTGCGAATGCACTCGGCTGTCAACCACAAAAATGATCGTTCACATCCACATGCCTCGACTAAGACTTCAGTAACCAGCTAGCATCGTTAGCTTCTATCGAAAAATGTGGATATCCGTCTCCGGCGGTAAGGTCTCAATAAGTACGGAGCTAACACAAATTTTACAGAAAGCTGTCCGAACTTCTTCAGAAAGCTAAACGCTCAGACATAGTACTCGTAGGGGGTGACTTTAATGCTCAGATAGGCAGTTTAAACCAAACAGAAAGGCATTTAGTTGGATATTTTAGTATTCCGACACAGCGAACAGATAATGGTGATCGTCTACTGCAACTATGCTCAGACAATCGTTTATTTTTAGCAAACACAAATTTTAAGCATAAGGAGAGACATCGTCTAACATGGCGACCCCCTACACCAAACCAACGATGGACTCAAATAGACCATATTGCCATCAGTCTTCGTTGGAGAGGGTCGGCACAAGATTGTTGCTCATTCTGGAGTACCTGCTTGGACTCCGACCACGCCCTTATACGGGCACGCATCTGCTTGCGCCTCACTGGACGCAAAAAAGCCACATTAAAAAGACCCATTAGAACTGAGTTGAGTAACGAGAAAACCAAAAGTAGGTTCCAGGAACAACTGAGCTCACACTTAGGTAGTTTTCAAAACGAGTCTGACCGAGATGTTGCTTGGAAAGGCAGACAATCATCTGTGGAAACAGCAGCGACGTCTATTAGTGACTTTGTTGATACTTGTTATGACTTGACCTTGATCTGTCTAGTCTAAATTATGAGCTTGACGCGATAGGGTGTACGGCTTAACCTTGAGCCTAGTACGCGTGAGTTCGAAATGGGGTAGAGAGATAACTATTCTAGAACCTGATTGGTTGGCAAGCACGCAAGTGAGAGAAGACAAGACAGTTGGAACACTGAACTCTGGATTCGGATTAGTACAAAAATGTACATGAATAAATAAGTGAATATCTTGACTACGACGTACAATAATTTGGAAAAATACAGTTATGCCCGAAACAGGGAATTAGGGTAGAAAGTACAGTGCAAAATATTATGTTTAAATTACAATATTTTCGGAACAAAGAAAGGTATGGTAGTGAATCATACATAGAACAAAAGCTCATGTTATGTAGAATACGATAGGGACAAAAATAAATATAAGTGTTTTACAGGGTTTGAATGAAATGAACTAACGTCCCAAGAAAATGGCTTTCGTAGTTGTCTGGGCTTCTTAATTCCTCGTTCACAACAGAATATTACTCTGAATGATTCGCTACATTTTAAGGATTCTATATGATAAAAAGCAATGATTAAGGTTATCGATTGGTAAGATGTAATCACCAATTGACTAAAATTTGGTAGTTTTTAAAAAATATGTTATTTATTACTTGAGCATGACATTCTACCATATTTTGATAGTGTTATCATGTATTTCGCTCAATTTTGAGATGAGTTTATCAAAAACATTCATTTTACGCAGTGATTATCTGATTATAATTATTGATTGATAGGTAGTTTAAACCAAACAGAAAGGCATTTAGTTGGATATTTTAGTATTCCGACACAGCGAACAGATAATGGTGATCGTCTACTGCAACTATGCTCAGACAATCGTTTATTTTTAGCAAACACAAATTTTAAGCATAAGGAGAGACATCGTCTAACATGGCGACCCCCTACACCAAACCAACGATGGACTCAAATAGACCATATTGCCATCAGTCTTCGTTGGAGAGGGTCGGCACAAGATTGTTGCTCATTCTGGAGTACCTGCTTGGACTCCAACCACGCCCTTATACGGGCACGCATCTGCTTGCGCCTCACTGGACGCAAAAAAGCCACATTAAAAAGACCCATTAGAACTGAGTTGAGTAACGAGAAAACCAAAAGTAGGTTCCAGGAACAACTGAGCTCACACTTAGGTAGTTTTCAAAACGAGGCTGACCCAGATGTTGCTTGGAAAGATATAAAAACAGCTGTTGAAACAGCGATGAAATCTATTAGTGACTTAACCCACAGAGTTACAAAGAACCAGTGGATTTCTTCAAAGTCTATCACACTGATGGATTCTCGCAAACTCGTCCCATCAGGTTCTGAACATGATGAAGAGAGACAACAAATCAGATCTAGGTTAAGAAAAAGTCTAAGAAACGACCGTGAGCAGTGATGGGCAACGAAAGCAAAAAAGATGGAAAAGGCGGCGACTATAGGGAACACAAGACAGCTCTACAGACTAATAAAAGAAACTGAAACTAATAAGTCAAGTGTAAGTGAGATTATTTCGAAAAAAGACGATACTTTCATCTATTCCCAGTTCAGACGTTTAGAAGGATGGGCGGAACACTTTAGGGAACAGTTCACCTGGCCTTCAGCGACTCTACAACTACCCTTCATTCTCAGACTGTGTGAATGGAACATTGAAGTAGGCCCCCCAACTCTAGCAGAAGTTCAAAAGGCTATAGTTAATCTGAAACGAGGAAGGGCAGCTGGTCCAGATGGATTGGCTCCAGAAGTCTTTAAGGATGGTGGTCCAATTTTAGCGATTAGGTTGACTAATATTTTGGCTAAGATCTGGGAGTTAGATGTTATCCTATCTGACTGGTCGCAATCACTTATCGTCCCAATATATAAGAAAGGGTCAAAATCATCCTGTGACAACCACAGAGGGATTAGTTTAACAAATATAGTATCTAAAATACTAACCTCGATAATTATCAAACGCCTAACTAAGACTCGCGAACTGCAAACACGAGAAAACCAAGCTGGCTTCAGACCTGGTCGTGGCTGCATCGACCACATATTCACCATTCGTCAGGTTCTAGAACACAGGCATACTTACCGGCGTCCGACGATGGTGGTCTTTCTTGACTTAAAAGCAGTATTTGACTCGGTAGACCGCGAGATTCTGGCATTGTCTGTCATTGAAAGGCGTACCTCAGAAGTACATAAACCTTGTAAAGGCTCTTTACTCGAACACTACTAGTCGAGTCAGAGCTTATGGCGAACTGTCATCTAGTTTTGCAACCTCAAGTGATGTCCGTCAAGGCTGTCCACTTTCTCCATTTCTGTTTAACTTCATCATAGACCTACTGATGGAAATAACATTCTCGTCGCAGATGATATAGTCCTGTTTGGTGAATACACTGATAAAATGCAGTCTTTTGGTAGCACTAAGCTACAATGCCAGAATGTTTGGAATGCGCTTCTCTCCCTCTAAATGCAAGTTGTTGCTTCAGGACTGGTCTGCGTCAACACCTGAACTAAGGATAGGGAGTGAAGTAGTCGAACGCGTCGACAACTTCACTTATCTTGGAAGCCTGATCAGCCCTAATGGGCTGGTATCGGACGAAATCTCAGCACGGATTCGAAAAGCTCGTTTGGCTTTTGCCAACTTACGTCACCTTTGGCGAAGGCGAGATATCCGTCTATCAATAAAAGGACGAGTATACTGCGCGGCAGTCCGTTCTGTCTTACTTTACGGCAGCGAAACATGGCCTGTAAGAGTAGAAGACACCCGTAAGCTACTAGTATTTGACCACAGATGCCTTAGAAATATTGCTGGCGTCTGTTGGGATCACCGGGTAAGTAATAGTGAGGTTAGACGCAGGGTATTAGGGAATGATGGTAAGTCAGTTGATGAGGTTGTGAATCTTCATCGACTGAGATGGTTGGGCCACGTGTTACGTATGCCTGAACACCGATTACCACGTCGTGCAATGCTAACGGGTGTTAGAGATGGTTGGAAGAGAGTTAGGGGCGGCCAAACCAAAACGTGGCATCAGTGCTTGAAGGCACTAACCTCTAGTCTGAGCCATGTTGGTAGATGCAGACTACTTGGTCGGGGTCCGCGTGACTTTCGTAACCAATGGTTGGAGACTCTTGGTGACATGGCTCAGAATCAATCACAATGGCGTTGGTGCATACACTCCCTGTCTTCCCTTAAACTAAGAGATTAAAATCGCTTCATATCTTTCTTTCTACGAACTAATTCTATATCCCGGTACTGTATCCTTATATGCAATCTTTCTCCTATATATTACCACCTTTAACCTAACCACTCCTATGAATCCGGTATTCATCTTGCTGTGCTAACGAGGTATGGCAACGTGGACCGATGCATATATGTGCCTGGTCCTATGTTGTAGCTGACTGACTGACTGATTGATTGTCAAGAAGTTAGTCTGAAAAATATTGTTTTTTAGTACTAAACGTACTTCTTCCCAAACCGTTTGTTTCCTTACCACTTGAAGGCTGAAACGATAATATTGGACACATAATGTTGACTCCAAATCGCAGCTTTCAATGACTGTCTTGATTCATTACGTTTAATACAGTGTTGATAATTTAAAGTCGTGCAGCCAAGTACACTTTACAACACTTTGAACTTTTACGTCAAAATAACATTTGAAATCTCCACAAAGCTTTAATTATTTACAGAATTGGAATAAACACAGATGACATCATAAAGCCACACAATGTAGTAAAACTGTGGCAACTTGAAATGATGCACAGATGTAATTGGTTATACGTTCTCATAAATAACTGATTAACTAAACTTAGCAAAACCGTTTATTCGAATATACAATTATTCTTTAAATGATATAAATATCACAATGACAAATAAAGGGACTAGAATCACTCACAGAATTGGTTAAATTGCCTGTGAACTATTATGTTAGGATACGATAGTAATTGTGTGTAACATAAAAGGGAAGAGCTTTCATCAGATTGGCGCAAAAAATCGACAAAAACGGATCCAAAATTCATAATAGCAAAATGTAACAAGTTCAAAATTTGAATGAAAAGCGTAATTCGTATAAATATATAGCCATAGTTAGTCTATCCACTCAACAGAAGCCGACTTTTCAAATTGAAATCAGACATAAGTTTATCAACCAACTGAATTCTCACAAGTCATAACAATTCTGATTCTACGTTTACAAGAAGAAAGGTCTCACAACGAGAACAAATTCTTTACACTACTACTAGTTTGGAATATAGCGATCCGTGTTTTCAACTCCAACCAATTTGCGATATATAGTGAAGAGGAGCAAATGGGTTCGGTTTTAGAGAGCATTGTCTGAGAAAACGGAAGCGATTAAAAAAACCAAATGGTGGCTATTAAAAATTCTTTTCGACTAATCCAGGTCGAATTTTCGGGAAGTACTACATTTTCCATCAAACCCAATCGATTATTTGAAAGCAAAACACATCTGTACAACAATAACATGAAAACTTACATTGATTTGATGAACTTGAGCTTGGTATATCATCGACACAATAATGATTTTTAAGTTCAATGGTAAGAAATGATGATGTATCAGGTAGATTATGTAACAATTTATCTGATCCAATGAAAATATTCTTATCAATTGGAATTTCTGCTTTTATACGTGTATTATTGTTATTATCCCGAAATGTTTTATTGATCTGTGAGGATTTTGAAAACAATGTAGACGGATCACCCGGTTTCAACACGGAATTTGGATAAGATACACATGATACAGTGATGTCAACTAATCGTAGAATACCAACACTTTGTAAAATTGATGTATTCACTGTCTGCAATAAACCACAATCCAATATAACAAATTGATTATCAGTAGAAACAGTTGAAGAATTTGTACTGAATACTCTACGACCACCATAGGTAAAATGAATAGGATTAATACCTCTTAACCAATTATCACGTGCACTGTAGAATTCTCGACAACCAGGCCAAGGTAATTCTGGTGAAACTTTAAGGCATAAAACAAAGACGATTCTGAGTAAAATATTTCGATATAGTCTAAATTGCAATAGGATACCTGTCCGTGAAATCGCAACACATCTGCTTCTCAATTTATGCAATATCTATCGGTTTACCGTTCATTTAGCGAGTGAATGCAAGAATTAAATAATTTACATAGGAGAATTAATTTTAAGCTCCAACTTGCGCTTTATTTGCTTTTTTCATCCGGCAAGTTGGGATGCACTACAGTGTCCTGTTCATAGAAAGTATATGCAGATAGCTTTAGATGATTGGTATTAAATCTCCGGTTAAATTTCTTACTTTTATACCGCAGTACTGACTTACAAAATGAATGCAGAAGTGCTTTAAAACGCTAGATATTGTAATTTTATTCAATGTTGAAAACGTTTGTAGTTATTATAATGTACTAGATTTTGTATAAAGAAATAAATAGTTAATAAAGTATTTACCAATCAAATGTTTGCTATTTAATTGAGATCATGAACCAATTGATGTTAGACCACCACCTTTGGAAACCTGGAAGCACTGGACGGCCGTTTCGTCCTATCGTGGGACTCCCCAGCGGCGCGCATCCACGATCCCTCTCGCGGGATTCGAGCCTAGGGCCTTCGGTCTCGCGCGCGAACGCTTAACCAAATGGACCACTGAGCCGGCATCCAATGGTGATAGTGTCTAACATCAACCAATCCACGAAATCGCGCGACCAACTTCCGTTGTCTCTACCCGACATGGATTAGCTCCACTGGTCACGACTCGGTTCATGATCTTAACCAAAAACTTAAAAATTTCCACAAACCCTATACTAGTTTGCTAATTAATTGGTCGAGTCAATAACTAGTTCAGTTAGTTGAAATATCTCATAGTTCAGTAAACAAATTTCCATAACCTCCATTTTATCTTCCGATTTCAAAGTTATTAATGCACAGAGCCGAGTTATGATTGGATTAGGTAGTGTTAAAAGTTAAAAAGGATGGAGACGGATTTTTATTCAAATACGTAGCCAATATGTCATTCGCAAGGTTGAAAGATTATGCAAGAATTAAGGCAGTAAATTCTTAATTTTGCATATACTTAAACCTCAACTGAAGTGAAATTGACTACGATGAATATATGACACTTGCTCTATCACGCATGCGCCTTAATACTGACCAATGTATTGTAATAATTATGAATTCATAAGCATTGAGTTGGAATTATTGGAAACAATTTGAAAAATATACTTTGTTTTTAAATATTCTGTTATGTCCCGACAAGAATAATAAATGGTAACTTTTGGAATCTATTGATGGACCAATACTAAACGTATATTTTTATCGTATAATCGTTCAATAACTAAACTATTCATATTCATATTCCTCTTATTACAAGCTTTATTTTGACCCATAAACTATTATGATACGTTTTACCATTCTTGAGTCATACCCAGTATATTACTTACTACCTCCTTCATTCACAGCCATATCTGGCTAATTCTTGTACAAATGTTGTTTCAAATTTTATTGGTACGTTGTGGTCTGTTTGATTGGTATATAAACTCAGTATGTTTGAAATGTAATGATTCATATTGCAGAGACTGAGACTGGTGTTCTGGACCCAACTGGCTGGGCTAGGCGGGAAGCAGGACCAATCAGGACTCTTGGCTGCTCGCACGTGTTTTATGCATCATTGATCCGATCGACAAGTCACTGCACATTAATCGGCGGTCACAAGTCATAACATATTCTATGAGAATTTTTAAGTTACATTTATCTGTTACCGTAATTCAGGTTTGTGTACTCTCTGTTGTGATACACTTGTGTGTGAGTACGACAGCTAATTAACTGTTAAATGAAATTTTGAGCCTAAAATCAAAAGGTTGAACATCAACTAAGATTTTGCTGGACATTAGCTAGTTTAAGAGTTGGTTGGAAATTTATAAAATCAAGGCAATGATAATAAAATAATTTATAGCTTATAGGTGAAAGCTGGTGATATTATAAAATTGATTATTATAGTCTGAGATTATTGAGATAACAGAAGTTGTCGACTTATTCGTACATCTTCATCCTGTGTTATCACAGTAGATAGTGATCTACCTACATATAAATTCTATCACATTTTGTTTATTATATATTAATTACTTCCAAATTCTATTAGCTTACTCTAATATCCTTACTACTTTAATTCTTATACTATAACTGATATTGCCATTTTTGTGACTTTTTTACATTTATTGTTAACCATTCACCAAGTACAGACTAATGTACTCAACTTCGGTCACACTCTAGGTGTGTAAGAGAAAATTGTAATATCCGACTGCCCAAACGGAATTAAGTGAGATGGGACTCAAACCTGTGACGTGTCGGCTGAAGACCAAATGTATTGACTAAGAAGCCACTGTTTCATACTCTCATGCTAATGTAGCGTGGTAACAGTTAGACCAACGTTTTATATTTTAAAAGTTGGGCATCATATAGCTGTAGGTAGATTTTTCCCCGAACATTCAAATCTCTCATATGTATAGCAACATTACCGCCTGGAGTCCCTCCGAGGGCTACTGCCGGTCCCAAGCCCGGATAAAGGAAGAGAGTTGGGCATGGAGTTAGCGACCCCACCCTGTAGAAAAATAACTCTCTAAAAAAACGCTAACCAGAAAAAATTCTTCAAACCCTTTAAACTCTGCCCTGGGAGTCAGAAGGTCTCCATTTAGAAGATCTATGACGCCTCATGATGAAAGCCGAGTTCTTTCGGAAGTCACGAGGCCTATGCCCCTTCTGACAACCAGAGAAACCATTTATTTAGGTACGTGGAATGCTCCTACATTGTGGGAGACTGGGAGAGTCTTCCAAATTGCTGTAGAAATGAGAAGATACAACCTAGAGGTGCTTGAGATCAGTGAAACACATCGGACGCAAGTTGGACAACGACTAGCTTCAGGGGAACTTCTGTTATACTCTGGCCATGAAGAAGAAAATACCCCACATACACAAGGAGTTGCATTGATGCTGTCCAAACGAGCACATAATGCACTTATACGATGGGGATCTCATGGACCAAGGATCATCAAAGCCTCCTTCAAAACGAAGAAAAAGAGAATTACAATGGATGTCATCCAATGCTATGCGCCTACCAACGACTACAATAAGGACGTTAAAGATCAATTCTACGATAGGCTGCAGTCAATCGTCGAGAAGTGCCCAACAAAGGACCTGACCATTCTGATGGGAGATTTAAATACCAAGGTTGGGATGGACAACACCGGATATGAAGACATTATGGGACGACAAGAACTGGGAGAAAGGAACGAAAATAGCGAGATATCTGCAAACCTATGTGCCTTCAATAAACTGGTCATAGGCGGCACTATATTCCCATACAAACGCATACACAAAACCACATGGACTTCACCGGATCACACAACACAGAATCAAATCAACCACATCTGCATCAAACAAAACGTTCAGGAGGACAATGGAGGATGTGAGAACCAAGAGAGGAGCTGATATAGCATCAGATCACCACTTGCTGGTCGCCAAGATGAAATCGAAACTCAAGAAGCACCGGACAATGAGGTGGGCAACAACACAAAGGTTAAATATGGCCTTTCATAAGGATACTGACAAACTCAGCAAATTCAAGATAGTCCTCCTCAGCAATAAGTTCCAGGCCTTTCATGATCTACTCAATGAAGAGGGAACCACTGTGGAGATCAAATGCAAAAAGATATAAGAGACAGTCACTTCAAAATGTCATGAGGTTCTAGACCACAAGAACACCACCACAAGGAATGTATCACTGTTGATACACTGGATAAGATTCAAGAAAGGAGGAACAGGAAGACAGCAATCCATACAAGCCGAACAAGAGCAGAAAAAGCCAATGCACAGAAGTAAACAAACAAGTGAAGAGGAGCATCAGGACCGACAAACGTAAATATGTGGAAGATCTGACAACGACGGTGGAAAAGGATGCAAGCGAAGGAAACATGAAACAACTGTATGACACAACTAAGAAAATCGCTGGAAATTACCGTAAACCAGAACGACCAGTGAAAGCAAGGAAGGCAAGGTAATCACCAACATTGAAGAACAACGAAACAGGTGGGTAGAACACTTCAAAGAACTCTTGAATCGACCAGCTCCACTGAACCCACCCAACATCGAAGCAGCACCCACGGACCTCCCAATCAACGTTGGCCCACCAACAATTGAAGAAATCAGCATGGCCATCAGGTAAATCAAGAGTGGCAAAGCAGCAGGACCGGACAACATTCCAGCAGAGGCACTAAAAGCAGACGTAGCGGCAACTGCAAGGATACTCCACATTCTCGTCAATAAGATTTGGGATGAGGAACAAGTACCAACAGACTGGAAAGAAGGACTTCTGATCAAAATACCGAAGAAAGGCGATCTCAGCAACTATGATGACTACAGGGGCATCACTCTTCTCTCAATACCGGGAAAAGTCTTCAACAGAGTATTGTTAAACAGGATGAAGGACTGCGTAGACGCCCAACTTCGTGACCAACAGGCAGGATTCCGTAAGGATAGATCGTGTACAGACCAAATCGCAACTCTACGAATCATTGTGGAACAATCAATTGAATGGAATTCATCACTCTACATCAACTTCATTGACTACGAAAAGGCATTTGACAGCGTGGACAGAACAACACTATGGAAGCTTCTTCGACACTAAGGCGTACCTCAGAAGATAGTCAATATCATACAGAGTTCATATGATGGATTATACTGCAAAATAGTGCATGGAGGACAGTTGAAAAACTCGTTGGAAGTAAACACCGGTCAGGCAAAGTTGCTTACTCTCACTCTTTCTCTTTCTCCTGGTGATCGACTGGATCATGAAGACGTCAACATCTGCAGGGAAGCACGGGATACAATGGACATCTAAGATGCAATTGGACGATCTAGACTTCGCAGATGATCTGACTCTTCTATCCCAAACGCAACAACAAATGCAAGAGAAGACGACCAGTGTAGCAGCAGCCTCAGCAGCAACAGGTCTCAATATACACAAAGTGAAGAGCAAGGTTCTCCGATACAACACAGCATGTACCAATCCAATCACAATTGACAGAGAAGATTTGGAAGATGTAAAAACCTTTACATATCTGGGTAGCATCATTGATGAACAGGGTGGATCTGATGCAGATGTGAAGGCGAGGATCGGAAAAGCAAGAGCAGCATATTTACAACGGAAGAACATCTGGAGCTCAAAACAACTGTTAACCAGCACCAAGATCAGAAACATCAATACAAATGTCAAGACAGTTCTACTGTATGGGGCGAAAACCTGGAGAACTACGAAAGCCATCATCCGGAAGATGCAAGTGTTTATTAACAGTTGTCTACGCAAAATACTTCAGATCCGTTGGCCAGACACTATCAGCAACAACCTACTGTGGGAGAGAACAAACGAGATCCCAGCGGAGGAAGAAATTAGGAAGAAGCGCTGGAGGTGGATAGGACACACAATGAGGAAGGCATCTAACTGTATCACAAGACAAGTCCCCACATGGAATCCTCAAGGCCAAAGGAAAAGAGGAAGACCAAAGAACACATTACGCCGGAAAATGGAGATAGACATGAGAATAATAAACAAGAATTGGGTGGAACTAGAATAGAAGGCCCAGAACAGAGTAGGTTGGAGAATGCTGGTCGGCGGCCTATACCCCATTAGGAGTAACAGGCGTAAGTAAGTAATCATCGGTTTTTTCCTTATTTTACAGATATTCATTCAGTAAAACACTGAGAAGTGGGAAGCTACTAATAGAATATTACTAAACCAGATTATAAATTATCCTCTCTCTTTCTCGCAATCTATCTACAAAAATAATGCATTGTTAATATGTTAACCTCATCGAAAAATCACGAAAACAAGATATAATTTTAACGAAACACAAAAATAGGTAACTTTAAGGCATAGTGTAATATAAAAATAAAAAACACAAAGAAAATGAACGTACAATCTAAATGATATGGATACCAATCTACAGATAATGTGGTTAAATTAACTCGCATTGATCCATTCGGCACAATGCTTGGATTGAGTCGAATTTCTAAGAAGAAAGTAAAATGAATGAAAATCTGGCTAATTTATGATAAATAAAAAAACTGAACGAGTATTAGCAGTTTGAAGTATTACAAATTATGATTCTGGAGAAGTAATATAATTAAATTTTATAGGAATGGTAAAGGATGGTTTGCTAAACTTGGGAAGACATCTGTACTTCGATGACGAGATTAACAATTTAGTGGTAGATGGTTTGCACCAATCTACAGAAAAACCTTGAATATAAGTTTCATCCTGGTTAGAGCATGTACGCAAGGCATACCTGTAATCTTGACGAGATTGGCGCTTCCGTGAGATTTGGAACCTATATGATCTAGTGCTCTTGTAAGGCACGTTATCAATGATCTATTCAGGTTGTAACTGATTACCTCGTGTGGTACTAATATATTTATGCATTGTTCAAATAGTCTCAACTGAAATGAAACTTAGATCAAGGGCTTCCCACAGACTACCTTTAACTATGTAACATCAAAACAGAGTCCACATGATATCGTATCAATAAAAATAGAGGTACATGCCATTTTGATTTTCAGAATCTGACTACCGTTGAGGATTGAACAAACACAACATTAGTTAATAATTAATAGTCAACTAGGATCATCATTCACACTTCCAACACTGTAATTTGTTCCATTATGCTCCCATCAAATACCTGCACATGCATACCGAATAAGAAGAAATGTTCAGTCCTATCCACGCTTTCGAATTTTTTAAGATATACCCGGTCAAGTTTATATACGACTAACTAGTTAGTATAGAATGACATACTTTTCTAAGTTACATGTATAAAAGGTTACTTTATACTGTAATCGACTTTCATTCTTCACCTTTTATATTATTGATATGTGGTTTGTGATCTAAACGGCTGCACTTTGAGTGCCTGGTTTCACATGATTTGGTCAACATTTTACAAATAGAAAAAATAAGATTGTCTTTCTGATAACAGTCAGTCGGTCAGTAACAACGTATAACTTCGTACGTACGTACATCGGTTCGAATCGCCACACCGCATTAGCACAGAGATGCAGTTGTCCATTCAAATCCCGTAGTGGTAGAGGTAGTAAGAGTATAAGCAGTAATCGCAAACATTAGGGTTTGAATATGTTATTCAAGGAGTATAATACAGTGAAATAAATATGGAAAGAGAAAAATAAGGGACATGGAGAATTCAAATTAGAATTTGGGAGAACACAAAGAGTGTATGTATTTGCGCCATTGCAAACGATTTTGAGCCATGTCATTCAAGGTCTCTAACCATCGGTTGCTATCATCCCGTGGGTCCCGACCAGGTGGTCTACACCTACCAACATGGCTCATTACTTTCTGATACCAACTAATAGGTTTACATATCGAATAAAAAATCCCTAGAGGAATTGCATTTATTCTGTTAGGAATAACGCAAAAATTTTGTTTTCTAAGTTTTACAATTTAAATCCCTAATTTTCCACGTCAAGACTTTCCCAAAAGCGCTGTCTTGCAATAACGTTCGTTGAATCTATTATTGTATTGTTTCGTTACATGTTTTCTAAGGTTATTTATGCACAAGTTGCATATACAAACGAGCCCCCAAATGCCCTGTTAGGGTCGAGAGCGAGGAGAGTCCGCTCTCCCTCTCGAAATGCTCTCACATGGTCAAGCGTATATAGCCTCTGCCAGGGAAGTCCTACTCACTGCCTTCTCGTTGCATTACTGTTGTTTACGAAAATGAGAGGACGAGAAGCGAATGTCCGGCGCCTTAACCGGATCTCAAACCAATGGTACACATGGGCTCCAGTATCCTGCGGGAACGAATGGCGTATGAACCAATTGTTGGTCACCGGCTTCCATGGGACTGCATCTGTTCTTCTCCAGAAAGTGCGTTCGACAGATATTGCAGTACTAGCCAGAAACTTGAATGCTTAGGTCGGGCGTCTAGGCACAGAAGAGAGTCGTTTAGGTGGCCGATGGGGACTCGTTGGTCGCAGGTCAGATAACGGGGACCGTCTACTGCAACTTTGCACAGACCACAACCTGCTTCTGGCTAGCACTAACTTTCGGCACAGTCATCGCCGATGTGCCACCTGGCGTCCTCCCTCTGCATCCCAAGCCTGGACTCAGATTGATCACATCGCGATCAGCTACCGCTGGCGTGGTTGTGTACAAGACTGCCGCTCCTTTTGGAGTACCTATCTGGACTCTGACCATGCCTTGGTCTGCGCAAATCTTACCTTACTTTTCAGTGACCAACGAAGTGACCGCCATCAAAGGATTGATGTCAGCAAGCTGGTTGCAACTTCTGTTGCAAATAAGTATCGAACCGAGCTAGCCTCTAGGCTAGCTACCACTCCACCGAAAAGTATAGATGAGCATTGGTTGCAATTGCATGACGCCATGAAAATGGCGGGAACAGTCAGTTGTGGGTTTGCGAAACGTCCCGCTTATAAGCACTGGATTTCTTCTGGTTCCTCGTCAGTCTACTCCGGGTGACCGTGAGTTTGACCATAAACGAAGGATGTTACGTAAGGAAATTGGGCAAAGCTTGCGTAAGGACCGAGAAGCCTGGTGGTCGGAGCGTGCTAATGAGCTGGAAGCAGCAGCTGCATCTGGTAATTACCGGAAGCTCTTCCAGCTCATCCGAGCCACTGGCAGCAAGAAGTCTGGTGTGAGCGAAACAATCTGCGAGGATGACGGGATGCCAATCACTAACATCCATCGACGTCTTGGACGATGGGCAGAAGTTTTCGAAGGGCAGTTCCACTGGCCTGCTGCTCCGGCAACATCGGTCAGACTGTCCTGCCCTCCATGGCCGGTGATGACTGATCCACTAAACGAGGGGGAAGTCCGCAAGGAACTCCAACTCTTGAAGCGTTACAAATCACCTGGCCCAGATGACTTACCTCCGACTCTTTTTAAAGATGGTGGTGACTTTCTGACTAAGGAATTGACGACGTTGTTTACAAAGGTCTGGTAGCTAGAGAGTGTACCAACGTCATGGAATGAGTCGATAGTTGTCCCTATCTTTAAAAAGGGTTCACGTCGTTCCTGTAACAACTATCGTAGGATAAGTCTACTTCCGATTGCGTCCAAGCTATTGGCTTCCGTCATACTTCGTAGGTTGTTCAAAACCCGAGAAAGATTGACTCGCGAGGAGCAGGCTGGGTTTCGTTCTGGTAGAGGATGTATTGATCATATCTTCACCCTCCGCCAAATGTTAGAACACCGTCATACTTATCAAAGGCCAACAATCGTAGTGTTTCTTGACATCAGGGCTGCCTTCGATTCGCTGGATAGGACTGTTCTCTGGGATTGTCTATTGAAGAAGGGTGTGCCTGAGAAGTTTATTAACATCCTAAAAGTCCTATATACAAACACCTCAGGCAGAGTGAGGGCATACAGCCACCTCTCTCTATTGTTCAATTCGAGCAGTGGGGTTAAACACGGTTGCCCAATCTCACCATTCCTCTTCAACTTTGCCATCGATGACATTCTGGAAACAGCTCTGATGGATGTAGGTAATGGCGCTGTGGATTTGTTGCCTGGAGAAAGACTTCTCGACCTTGAGTATGCGGACGATATGGTCTTACTGTGCGATAATGCCCAAGGCATGCAATCCGCACTTAATCAGTTGGCAATCAGTGTCTGTAGGTATGGTATGTGCTTTGCACCTTCGAAGTGCAAAGTACTTCTACAAGACTGGCAGGATTCCAATCCTGTACTCACCCTGGATGGTGAGCAGACAAACGTAGTCGAGAAGTTAGTGTATCTCGGTAGCTGCATAAGTGCTGGTGGTGGTGTGAGTGATGAGATCAATAGTAAAAGCCAGAGCGGCTTATGCCAATCTGGGCCACCTTTGGCGCCTTCGTGATGTTAGTCTGGCTGTAAAAGGTCGGATCTACAACGTGTCGGTGAGAGCAGTTTTGCTCTATGCTTGTGAAACCTGGCCTCTCCGAGTTGAGGACGTTAGACGACTCTCTGTGTTCGATCATCGTTGTCTCCGAAGGATTGCTGACATCCAGTGGCAACACCATGTCAGTAATGCAGAGGTTCGACATCGTGTGTTCGGGCACAGAGATGATAATGCAATTGGTGTCACCATCTTGAAACACCGACTTTGGTTGCTTGGACATGTTCTACGAATGTCGTCCCAGATAATTCCACGTCGTGCATTATTTGCCGATTCTGGGACTGGTTGGAAAAAGCGGAGAGGTGGTCAGTGCATGACATGGTGTCGTGGGATGAAAGAAAGCTGCAAAGGACTGGCTTCTGTCGGTCCTTCACGACTCCCAGGTTGGGGTCTGAGAGACGGTGCTACACAGTGGCTAGAGACGTTATCAGATATGGCTCAGAATAGAAGCCAGTGGCGATCCTGCTGTAACCTTCTTTTACTTTCTTCATACAAAGTGGTTGTGTCTCCCTTAACTGAAAGATTTCTTCTGATTGTACCTTTCTGTTCCGCCATTTTTACCATTATTATTATTACACCACCTTACATCAATCTTTTCTCTCCTTCCCCTTAAATTCTCATTGTTTTGTGTGGCGCATATATATTTGGCGCATTCTTGTACCAATATTTATGTGTTCAAATAAAAATAATAATAATACAAACGAGCTGCTTAACCTTTATGTGGAAATAGTACACAATTCTTTCACAAAATAATAGCCTATCGTTTCGTACTATATTCTTTACTAGGGGTCGAGATTAGTTGAAATTGAGCCTTTCAAATACAGTTAGGTCAAGCCTCATAACTGCAAAAAATATCAGTGTAAACTCGCGGTATAGCGTAACACCAGAGATAATAAATCAAAACTATGGTTTCAAAATAAACAAAGCAATAGGCGAAATTGAGAATAAAAACTAATTATCATAATTATGCGTCAAAAATTATGGTTATGCAAAAACTTAACAAATACTAGTGTATACAATTTTAGTTATGTGGCCTAATTACCAAAATTCAATATTGAAATATATGGTTGTGCATTCAACTTTGAGCTACACTGTTTGTGAAGAGGATTGCAGCTCTGTACGACTACCAAAAACAAGTAAAAACAGATAACACTTAAAACCTTTATAAAACAGGTCACAAGTCAAATTTTTTAACCCATTTCTATACAGGTGGCACACACCGTGTTTTTACGTCATGACAAGCGGTTAAAGGAGTAACTTACAACTCATTTACTAGAAATTAATTTACTAACTTTCTTTAGTTTCATCACAAAAGTTCAATTCTGTCCGATTAACAATCAAATGATAGGATGTTTCCAAAACGTCATATTGATGAAACATATTCACAGCATTTGCATAATCCCATGTACATTTGGTATTTCGTACTACTACCGTGGGGTAAATATTACTATTAGTAGTATAGTTAGTATTGCTACCATTACTACTGTTACTGCAACTATTATTCACCAAAGACTGAGTTTCTGATGATGAAACCAAAGTGATTGTTTGTCGCTAAATTAAAAGAAACAAGTAAAAAGGTCAAAAAGCTTAACGACACTACTTATTATAACAATAAGAATTTATTAGACCAATAAGTTTCTCAATAAAATACCTGTACTGGTTAATAACACTGTGGTGTATGCTACTTATGTCGACAGACATAAGTGGTATGTAACATCAATCAGAAGTGAAATACATGACAACAGAAAGCTAAGAAGATCGAATTAAAGAAAACAGAAAGGGAAATAGGAAGGAATTGTGAATTGGAACAATCATACAGAATGTAAAGAACAGTTGATTGGATATTTGCAAATGAAGTATTTTATGTATGGTTCTTATATTTTACCAAGATACTTTGTAACTTTGTGTCAAAATACATTGATTGTCTCCACCTGTATTCTCGTTCATTACTTATTTGCAAACTTTTCATCATAATAACGTGATTCGAAATCTAATTACATGACCTATCTAATTTACAAATAACTCAATTTTGAAGTACTTATTTAGTAACAGATGCAAGCGTTGACCATTTTTAACATATAACATTCTCAAATTTATTAACAACTGCCTTGTTTTGGCCTTTATGAAATATCATAATGATGGACTTATAACTGTATAGTCTGATGATGAAGTTATTAAAAACAACTGGTCGCTCAAATATTCTTTATTTTTGAATATCCTATGGAGATTTTTAAACTGCTAATTATAACTATTTTACGTATTTTGTTGCTCTTGTTCAATGTAGTACTGTGATACAAAAAAAGAAAAACACAATGTCGATCCTTATTACGGCAACATTTGTTTTAATATTTATCAATTATCTTTTGATTACTTAGCAGAAGGTTAATATCATACAATTGGTTCCCTTTATGAGTTTGAATAAAGGCAAAACAGAGACCGAGGCAAACGGTTAATAGTTACCATTATTGTTATATTTGTGCGGAAATCGATAAATGTGGAGAGAAACAACTTTAGTTGTTGGATGTATTGTTATCTTAATGGTTGAAAAAAGTAGATTTTCAGCTAATAGTTAGTAAGATGAAATACAGTTACAGCTTAAGTAATCATATTGTAATATATATATATATATATATAAAGTCAGTATTAGTCCAATTTGGTAAGTAAATAGATAGGAGATTCGATTCATAATAATCCAGTTTACATTTATATAACACGTATTCATAATGTTATATCTCTACAAAACAATTACTAATTGTTCAGTGTATTTAAATGTTCCATTAGCTAGTGATAATCCAATAATTATCACGTAGGACTTGTTTCATTAAGTTGGACGCCAAATTGGTGCTCTGAAAATAGGTAATCTTAGATTAATGAGTTTTATCTCGTGCTTTTTTGTTCAGTTTTCTCTGTTGTAAACTTCATCTGTGCCCATAAGATCGCTCACTCTAAATGTTAATCGAATATGATTCTATCATAGAACCTGGTTTCCTAAACTCAGTAATAATAACAGTCAATTAAGGCAGTCGAAATAAACTGATAGTTAAGAAAAAATTAATTTTTAAATCCACCACATTTTACATACTAACCTTGGCTTTCTCTGCTGCGAATCGTTTACTCTGTTCATTGGCTAAACGTATTGAATGTCCTAAAGAACGTGCAAATACAATGGCTGCTTCCACTTGAGATAATGTGAATACCCAAAGTATATCGTCTAGTATAAGACGAATACGTGAACTAATCAGCGACCCATCTACGTGGGTAGGGTGAGGGAAGTAGGGAACAAAAATTAGAACAGAAATACTCAAAGTTTGTGCAGAAAATAAGCTTTTTTAGTCATACACTGAAAATATATCGTTTCATCAATGTACTATAGGAGATACGCGCTATGATTAATTAAATAATCACGAAAAGTGTTGTCTAAGGCCAATAATTTACCGGTGAAGCCCCACCACACACGTACAAAGGTGGAAGTAAATTCCAAAGATTGTGTTCATATTACTTCTTAACGAAGTTCATCAAACTCAGAAATAGTTACATTTATCTCAGCAATGTCTGTACGAAGTTCTTAAGCTTCAACTATGTTTATAACCACTTGAATTACATGGTTCTTTTTACTTAACATTAGCCATCAAGTAACTTCATCTGGACCCCTCTGGGTTAAACCCGGTCCCAAGTCTCGATAGAATTAGCGAACCCCGTTGTAGGAAAGGACTTCCCTAACCAGAATGAATCAATTAATTCATTCAAACTCAGCCATGGAAGTTGGAGGGTCTTCATACAGAAGAGTTATGACGTCTCATAATGAAAGCCGACATCCTTCCGAAGCTGCGAGGCCGACGACCCTTCTGAAAATTAAAGCAACAATTGATATAGGCACTTGGAATATCAGGGCATTGTGGTAGACCAGGAGGGTCAGTCGAATGGGAACGGAAGGGGAAAGACACAACCAATTCTCTCAAATATACGGATGAGTTTGGAGGATTCTAGTGAAACAGCTTGACCCGAATTAACGAGATGTCCCTAGATTGAACTATTGACTAACTTATGTGGTCCTTTTGATAGCACTTGTACTTTTATTTCGTAGATGATTCACACTGAATTTTGTAACTGATATACCTCACAAGCTAGAACAGATCACACGCTGCCTGAATCCCACATGGTAGATAAGATGCAACCGTTGGATTACTCGCCTAGACTAGGTCACCGTTTACATGTTCTTGTTTGGGATCATCCATTCGGTAAATCTGACAGATCTTACAAGCAACATTTTAAGTATAGCTCGAACCAAAAATCCATTGCGACAGGTTTTTTAGACTATCAGTCATCGCCAATCTATGGTAATTAATTTGAAAATAGTTTTGGAAGAGTTTAAAAAGTTACCAGACCAATATATGGTTTCAGTTCAAAAAGTTATTACCTGTTTACTTGAGACATCTATGGAAGTGAGAACTTCTTGGTTGGGTTAAACGAGATAATTCCCAGTTATGATTGGAGACTATATTATTCAAAATTGATTGTAATCAATTAAATGCATCATTTTTCATTCTTCCTTTAAACATTTACAGACATAACATTCCATATTTAACATTCTGGAAATGCATATATTTTATGTTCTCGCTACTGGTTTTTACATGTGAAAAGATAGAATCGGTACATATTTGTGCCATCATGAGCTGATAAACCTTAATTCACTTACAGTATTAAAATATAACATGTTACATACTTTATCTATGATCATTACTTTTTATTTGACCTTCGATTGTTTTCAAAGAAAATGTAATGTGTGGCTAGTGTTCAAAATGGATTACGCAAATAAGTCATACTTTTTAAATCAATTTCGTCTTATGATTATACTATGGAACATAGTACAGCCGATTAATGACAATTTATTTTCAATTCAAACATGTAACATCTTAAAAAGCAAGTGAGATGACAGTCTTAATCACGGAAACGAAAATCAAAAGTTTGTTCTACCATTGTACACGTAGTTTTGAGCTATACATACAACTCACCTGACCGAGAATAAAACGAAGAGAGATTTTAAGTAGCAACGCAACTGTTGAATCACTAATGTGGGACTTCAGTCAAACTTTTACAAAATGTCATCTGAGGAAATTTGTGACAAGCCAAACATTATCAAAATAGCCATGTAAAGTCACATGATGTGATACGGTTGTTTGTTAAACCAGATAAATGTATGTAGGAGTTGTGAAGCTTAACTAAACTATGACCCTAATCAAGGTCACTCCTCGCAGATTCACTATTTAGTTTAGTCTGAACACCTATGAATAAACATTACTATGATGAGTATATATATATATATATATATATATATATATATATATATATATATATATATATATATATATATATATATATATATATATATATATATATATATAAGCATTCAAAAATGAGCGTGCTTTTAAGACAGATATTTTAACATACCACACTCAAACAAAATTCAGAACTTCGAAAAATCTGCGTCAAAAGTGAGAGATTATAAATTACACTTTTAGGTTATCAATGTATTAACTAAATTGAAGGTTACTGGAAAATATCATTCAAACTTATTTGCTTAGAACTTTCAGGTGTTCAAATAATCAGATATACAATCAGATTGAATTAATAAAGTGAAGCAAAACGACGACAAAATAGTTATATCTTCGGAAAAAAGAATGAGAAGTGGTATTTTCGTACGAATAAAGTGATAGACACTTTAAAATCCTGGGACTGGTTCTAGTAACAAAAGATTCTCGACAATTTTGAGCGATGAACATTGTATTGTTGAAAATATACATATTAATTACTGTAGATTTCCTAAGCATTGAAAAAATATTTCCGTGCTGCCAATAATCAATAATGTTCTACAAAAAAGACCTTGAAATTTAGCATAAATTGTTTTTTACACGATTTCATTGGCGAATAATTGCAGCCAATCAACAGAGAAATTTCGCTCGAAACCTTTAAAAATTCATACCTGTTTGTCATGACCTAACTTTTGTAACTGGATAAAAGCTTTTACGAAGTCGACTAGGTGACCTGATTTTTAACCTACAGATGTGAGTCTAAACAAAATGAAATATAACTAAATTGTCAATTCATACGGAAAATGTCAAACAATTACATGGTCGTAGGTCAACAAAACAACAGGAAATGGCAACAAGAAGACAGAGAAATATAAAAACAGATGAAGACACCACGTTAGGAGTGAGGTCATCAGCATGAACTGACTTAACACATGTGAAATGGTCAAGATATTCACTTCCACTTTAAGTCAGCGCTAATGATAATGTACAGAGCCATAATGAAATCTTTGAAATTAAACCATCTTGCTCAGAAAACTCGGCATCGCCAAAAAATAAGAACAATTTTACGTTGCCGCGAGAATAATGTCGGTAATTCTGAAATTCTGTATTTGTTTTAACAAATGACTATAACTAAAATATAAGTAATATCTATAGCCAAAAATAATTAAGCTTACCAGATAACCGCTTTTTCATTGTTAAACGCACACGAGATTGATTTGTTATAAGTTTAACTGGTGTACCATGTAGTTCAGTTAGTAGACCATCGGCCACAATACGTGCCGATTCCCAAGAGACTTCCTTGAATATCAATATGAAATCATATTGTGGCAATGTCAGATAGCTTAAATTTAATAAACAATTTTGCCAGTTCGGTGATTTACTCAGCACACAAAACCTGGACAACTAAAGGAAACCAATTGAAAGAATGATATAATAAACTATGTCAAGACTGTATTTATTTCACAAATGAAGAAAATAAAATGTGTTCAAATAAATAAATATTTTGTGACTCTAACAGCAGCCTAAGTAGAAAGGTTATGTTGGCTGGGGTACGGGTAGGTTGGTAGAAATCTAAGGGCAGCTAAAACAAAATATGGAATTAGTTTGTAAAGACATTAACAGTTGATATGAGCTATGTTGTTAGGTGCAAGCTACCTGGTTAGGACTCATGTAATCGTCATAAAAGACAGTTAGAAACTTTGGGCTGCATTGCTTGAAATTTGTCGCAATGGTGCAGATGGATTCACTCTTTATCTCCTATTTGATTCTGAGTTTCAAAAATTATTGAATAATTCTTACCCTTGCAATTCATTTGTTCATCTTGAATTTTATCCTTTACGTGTACTGCTTTATGCTATCACTGATACTACCACTACAACTTCTAATAACTTGGTATTTATCTTTACAATTTCATTTCATTTTGCTGATGTGGTGTGGCAATGTGAACTGATCTATATATGCGCAAGGTTCTACGCTATTTATGATTAAAGTTATTATTAGGGTTTGAAACAGACGACTGATATTTGTGCACAACATGTCCCTTAACTGTCTTAGTTGATAGAAGCAAACTACATCATTCAATAACCAAGATCCCCCACCTAAAAAACATTTTACTCTTAGATTTTATGTTCTCTAGGCAGTAATTTAATCTGGTGAAATTAGTTCTATAATTGTACTGTTGACCATCACACATACCTCATAGCTAGGTCAAACATAGCCTTTTATATCTTATACATGAGTATAAGGGAACCATAAACTCAACAGTACAGGTATTAGAGATTAGAGAATGACAACTTACAACAAAATTTCGTTCATAAAATATACACACTGGTGAATACAGCTTTTAAAAAAATGAAAGGTCATATACAGATATCAAAATAATCAGGGGACATAAATTTTTACTTCGGAAATCTTTAACGAAATCACAAAAAGAAGCTCCAAACAGGATTTAAAAGTACTTAAAAACCACCTTTTCGTGCACAGCAATACGAATAACGTGGATAATAAAGTAACACAATACAATTCGGAAGATAAATACAGGTTGGAGTGCATCAGGGACATAACGGTTAGTAATGCAACAAACAAAAGTTTATGGTGTATGTCTTAATCATTCAGCTTAGATAGAAGAAATCAATAGACGTATCATACCATGATGACACAATACAAGGCGGATTTATAAACTGAAATCGATTTTCATTATTCTACTCCTAATGTGAATCAATTCGCATAACAGATACAGGTTTGTTTACTGAGCTTCGAGTCACACTTCAGTTGTGTTAGCAGTACTGACCAAAAAATTAAACAGAAGGTGAGGTCAGGCTTGAGGGTGCAGCTCAGTGGTTTAAAGTCAAGTGCTTCAACCAGCAAACAACCACCCTATAATACCAAGACTATAATATAACTACTTGTTTTTTGCCATATGACTATGTAACGCTATAGCGACGGATGTATGTAAAATTAGTCAATTCTTCATCAATCACACCTATGTATCGATCTATGTCTAAATAACGAATATTATTTTGAGTATACTTCGAAACACATAACATACAGAAAACCACTATGGAAAGATATAATTTGCCAATTATCAAGAGCATTTTTAAAGAAGACATACTTCAACGGAGCCCTGAAAAGCTTGAGCGAAGAACTCAATAAACACTGAGTTCACTTGAATAGTAACTCCATCAATTACTTTATCACTGAACCCATATTTGCCAGATCCACCTCTGTGATAGGGATAGAAATGTTCATTCAGTTTTTATCAAAAAACAAACCTATAATTAGCTATAGGCGATTGTGAAGCTGAACGTGGTTCACTGAGCGCTTGTAACTCAATATTTACAAGATCAATACTCTTGATCAACGAGTAATTTTTCATGACAATAAAATGTGAGATTAATATGAATGCTTACAATGAAAACAGGATGAGTTTTTAACTTTGTCCAGTGTATCTAAAAAGAACGTTTTATTTGCTATTCGTGACACAAAATGGAGAACTTACTTTAGCTACAACATTTGTACAATATGCTTTACGTAAAAGTAACCAAGTTGGCAGATCAAGAAGCTCCATTAAAGCATTTTCTTCTAATTCTAGTGTTTCAAACTCCAAAATACCTTTTAATAAACTCATATGAAGTTTATTTGAAGAAAGGTTTTTCGTAAACCTGAAGTTGAATTTTTGATCAGTAGGTATAAAGAAAGCCAATTAAAGATGAGTAATAGGACTTGCTTACTTCAAACACAAATTGACATCAATAGGAAAATATTAATAATTATGAAACTCTGAACCGTTATATAGTTATCTTCACTGTTTGTCAGCATAAATCTACGGGTCCAAGGATCTCAAAAATATTATCATTCAAGGCACCAAATCAGCATTTCGTGATTCAGATTATCGAAGATACGAAGCGATTATCGTACAATAACGCTGATGAGTACATATTGTTTTTCAACTGCAATGATCATACAGTTTGGTAAATAATGGAATATCACTCAACGAATTGATTCGATGAATTTTTCTGATTTAAGCGTAGTTTTTATCTGATAACACTTAAAATACGACCGGCCACATGAGAGAACATGAAAGCTGTTTACTTAAAATGTGGGATAAAATAAAGTGAGTAGTGCTATCAGCACCAAAGCTGAACCTTGAACAAATGGACATCAACCGAAATTGACACACTTCATATTGAGAAATCGGGAAGAAATTAACCAAATATATAGCAAGGAATCAAAATGACGGTGAATTAATTGGTAACAAAAACGTAAACAAACAATATAGTTCGAGGACTATAAGATACGAAATAATATCGACACCTGAAATTAAGTAGATAGAAAATAGATACATCTACATCACCAAACATATGCTCCAATCATTTCTTGATGCAGTACAGTCCTATAACAATAAAGTAATCAAAAGACCTCCGAGTTTGGGTTTTTAAGTCATTTTTTGGCATTTAACGTATTCATCCCTTGGAAATACCAAGATGCAACTAAGTAGCTCTCCAAGATTAATCGGTTGTCAATGGTATTTTAGATGGCAACAATCCTTTATGAAAACTATTTTCAGAATAAGGAACTACGATTTAACGATGTGAGTGGAACAATGGATCATATCTACATTACTATCTAATAGTCTCAGATTCGAAACAAGTAAATTCCACTCTAGATAACTAGGTTTGAAATTCTTAAGTACTGGTGAACGCGTAGACAATTGAATGCTTACATACAAAACACCACATACAGATATATCTACTAAAGCCCATTTAGTGAGATTTTTATGAGAAACACCTACACATGAGTTACGACACGAGACATCCACATTACTAGTATATCATCTAAAAAGTGTGAAGAACAACAGGCTTTCTGTTTTTTACCTGAAAAATATTGCGGATTGTTCGAGAGACCGTAACCGAATTCATTCGAAATCCTCCAAAAATATACAAGCTGTTCTCTATCTCTGAGTGTCCATAACATCCCCCATCTACTTCTTTTTAAATCTACTTTCGATTTGACATTTAAAACTATTACTCTGAATGATTCGCTACATTTTAAGGATTCTATATGATAAAAAGCAATGATTAAGGTTATCGATTGGTAAGATGTAATCACCAATTGACTAAAATTTGGTAGTTTTTAAAAAATATGTTATTTATTACTTGAGCATAACATTCTACCATATTTTGATAGTGTTATCATGTATTTCGCTCAATTTTGAGATGAGTTTATCAAAAACATTCATTTTACGCAGTGATTATCTGATTATAATTATTGATTGATAGGTAGTTTAAACCAAACAGAAAGGCATTTAGTTGGATATTTTAGTATTCCGACACAGCGAACAGATAATGGTGATCGTCTACTGCAACTATGCTCAGACAATCGTTTATTTTTAGCAAACACAAATTTTAAGCATAAGGAGAGACATCGTCTAACATGGCGACCCCCTACACCAAACCAACGATGGACTCAAATAGACCATATTGCCATCAGTCTTCGTTGGAGAGGGTCGGCATAAGATTGTTGCTCATTCTGGAGTACCTGCTTGGACTCCAACCACGCCCTTATACGGGCACGCATCTGCTTGCGCCTCACTGGACGCAAAAAAGCCACATTAAAAAGACCCATTAGAACTGAGTTGAGTAACGAGAAAACCAAAAGTAGGTTCCAGGAACAACTGAGCTCACACTTAGGTAGTTTTCAAAACGAGGCTGACCCAGATGTTGCTTGGAAAGATATAAAAACAGCTGTTGAAACAGCGATGAAATCTATTAGTGACTTAACCCACAGAGTTACAAAGAACCAGTGGATTTCTTCAAAGTCTATCACACTGATGGATTCTCGCAAACTCGTCCCATCAGGTTCTGAACATGATGAAGAGAGACAACAAATCAGATCTAGGTTAAGAAAAAGTCTAAGAAACGACCGTGAGCAGTGATGGGCAACGAAAGCAAAAAAGATGGAAAAGGCGGCGACTATAGGGAACACAAGACAGCTCTACAGACTAATAAAAGAAACTGAAACTAATAAGTCAAGTGTAAGTGAGATTATTTCGAAAAAAGACGATACTTTCATCTATTCCCAGTTCAGACGTTTAGAAGGATGGGCGGAACACTTTAGGGAACAGTTCACCTGGCCTTCAGCGACTCTACAACTACCCTTCATTCTCAGACTGTGTGAATGGAACATTGAAGTAGGCCCCCCAACTCTAGCAGAAGTTCAAAAGGCTATAGTTAATCTGAAACGAGGAAGGGCAGCTGGTCCAGATGGATTGGCTCCAGAAGTCTTTAAGGATGGTGGTCCAATTTTAGCGATTAGGTTGACTAATATTTTGGCTAAGATCTGGGAGTTAGATGTTATCCTATCTGACTGGTCGCAATCACTTATCGTCCCAATATATAAGAAAGGGTCAAAATCATCCTGTGACAACCACAGAGGGATTAGTTTAACAAATATAGTATCTAAAATACTAACCTCGATAATTATCAAACGCCTAACTAAGACTCGCGAACTGCAAACACGAGAAAACCAAGCTGGCTTCAGACCTGGTCGTGGCTGCATCGACCACATATTCACCATTCGTCAGGTTCTAGAACACAGGCATACTTACCGGCGTCCGACGATGGTGGTCTTTCTTGACTTAAAAGCAGTATTTGACTCGGTAGACCGCGAGATTCTGGCATTGTCTGTCATTGAAAGGCGTACCTCAGAAGTACATAAACCTTGTAAAGGCTCTTTACTCGAACACTACTAGTCGAGTCAGAGCTTATGGCGAACTGTCATCTAGTTTTGCAACCTCAAGTGATGTCCGTCAAGGCTGTCCACTTTCTCCATTTCTGTTTAACTTCATCATAGACCTACTGATGGAAATAACATTCTCGTCGCAGATGATATAGTCCTGTTTGGTGAATACACTGATAAAATGCAGTCTTTTGGTAGCACTAAGCTACAATGCCAGAATGTTTGGAATGCGCTTCTCTCCCTCTAAATGCAAGTTGTTGCTTCAGGACTGGTCTGCGTCAACACCTGAACTAAGGATAGGGAGTGAAGTAGTCGAACGCGTCGACAACTTCACTTATCTTGGAAGCCTGATCAGCCCTAATGGGCTGGTATCGGACGAAATCTCAGCACGGATTCGAAAAGCTCGTTTGGCTTTTGCCAACTTACGTCACCTTTGGCGAAGGCGAGATATCCGTCTATCAATAAAAGGACGAGTATACTGCGCGGCAGTCCGTTCTGTCTTACTTTACGGCAGCGAAACATGGCCTGTAAGAGTAGAAGACACCCGTAAGCTACTAGTATTTGACCACAGATGCCTTAGAAATATTGCTGGCGTCTGTTGGGATCACCGGGTAAGTAATAGCTAGGTTAGACGCAGGGTATAAGGGAATGATGGTAAATCAGTTGATGAGGTTGTGAATCTTCATCGACTGAGATGGTTGGGCCACGTGTTACGTATGCCTGAACACCGATTACCACGTCGTGCAATGCTAACGGGTGTTAGAGATGGTTGGAAGAGAGTTAGGGGCGGCCAAACCAAAACGTGGCATCAGTGCTTGAAGGCACTAACCTCTAGTCTGAGCCATGTTGGTAGATGCAGACTACTTGGTCGGGGTCCGCGTGACTTTCGTAACCAATGGTTGGAGACTCTTGGTGACATGGCTCAGAATCAATCACAATGGCGTTGGTGCATACACTCCCTGTCTTCCCTTAAACTAAGAGATTAAAATCGCTTCATATCTTTCTTTCTACGAACTAATTCTATATCCCGGTACTGTATCCTTATATGCAATCTTTCTCCTATATATTACCACCTTTAACCTAACCACTCCTATGAATCCGGTATTCATCTTGCTGTGCTAACGAGGTATGGCAACGTGGACCGATGCATATATGTGCCTGGTCCTATGTTGTAGCTGACTGACTGACTGATTGATTGTCAAGAAGTTAGTCTGAAAAATATTGTTTTTTAGTACTAAACGTACTTCTTCCCAAACCGTTTGTTTCCTTACCACTTGAAGGCTGAAACGATAATATTGGACACATAATGTTGACTCCAAATCGCAGCTTTCAATGACTGTCTTGATTCATTACGTTTAATACAGTGTTGATAATTTAAAGTCGTGCAGCCAAGTACACTTTACAACACTTTGAACTTTTACGTCAAAATAACATTTGAAATCTCCAGTTTACCAACAAGAGTTATAAATGGTATAATGTTTTTTTCTAAATACGGCCCAGCTACTCTAATTGTTTAGTATTCGGACATTTCATTTCACTCGATAAGTCTCCAAAACAGAACACGGTTGAACAGGAACGTAATTACAGTTCAAATAAACAAAGGTGAATGGAAGTAGAAAATAAAATAATAAAAACGTGGACGAACCAATCACATATAAGATAACAGATCTCAGATTTTAACGCGAAAGCTTTTCATCCGATCGGCTAAATAAATTCGTTCAAAGGCCGTCCATAAATTGTGATCTCGCCCTTCAGAAAACGAGGTATAAACGTGAATGGATTATTTCGCTCTTATAAATAGGACATCAGAGGATAGAAGTTGTGGAATCCGAATTCACCGGAAATCAATTCAAGAGGAGACTCTAATTTAAGAACGACCTTTGAACGAATCTTAAATGACCTTGACAATTATTAGCCAATCAGGAGTCACTAACTATAAAGTGAAAATATATTGTAAGTAATGAATTACTGTGGATATTCTTCTTTTACATGATTTAAAAATTTGTTAAGGATTCATTAAGGTTCAGAATTCATAATGCATATGGTATAGAAACTCGTCCATAAGATTAGGGTCTAGGTTAGGGCTGTAGCATCTCAGTAAACACCTCTTCCATAAAATCCGATGTAAACCGATCGCATGTTAGCACCCTAACCCCTAACCTAACCTCAACAATAACACTAACCCCTAACCTAACCCTTAACCCTAACTTAACCTTAACCCTAAACTCTAACCTAACCCTAAACCTTAACCCTAAACTCTAACCTAACCCTAACCTTAATCCTAATCTTAAACCTAATCCTAACCTTAACCCTAACCTAACCCTAAACCCTAACCTAACCCTAATCTTAAACCTAACCCTAAACCCTAAGCCTATGGATGAGTTTCTATACCATATGCATTATGAATTCAGAACTTCTGGGCCTTTATCAAACCTTAACAAGTTTTTAAATCAGGTAAAAAAGAATATCTACTGTAATTCATTACTTTCTTGTAATATATTTTCACTTTATATTGTCTTCTGATTGACTAATAATTGAAATTGCTCAAACGCTTCTGATTGGCTCGTCCCTAAATTAGAGTCTCGCCGCCACATCTGTTGTAACCTCTCATTAATCATCTACTCTCTAAAATCCGATTTGAAACGGTAATTTGATGGAAAAAGTCATACATTTCTTATGTTAATTATAAATCCATGTATATATCTGTTGATCATATTATAATTAAGAAGTCGCGTATCCTTTAATATGTTTTGGCACATGAACCAAAGTGAGTATTAAATACATACAATGCTTACTTAAGAAATGGTTTCAAAATCTTGTTCTTTAGAACAGACGACATCACGAATAGGATTGTAACGCGCTGTTTAATCAAACCGCCTTTCTTCAAATGGTTGTGGACGGAATAAAAGAAGCTTTCGCTTATCAGGCTTCCGTGTCTAGTAGCAGATCACCAAATCCTCCAGGCAGGAACCTAGGTATGTTGACAATAAAAGAGAAAAAAGAAATTGGTAAACCATTGTATGATGCTGTCCTTGGTCCTTAAGAATAGGTCAAGTTGCCTCTTGAAGGACTCCTGGGAAGTTGCTTGGACTAGCTCAGCCGGCAGCGAGTTCCAGCGTTTGACAACTCCTAAGGAATAGAATTTATGTCTACATTCCGTTTTGCTATGTTGTGTCTCCAGTTTCTGGTTGTTACCCCTTAGGTTATTATTCGAACTAAGCTTAAGTAGGTGTTTAAGGGGATGTACAGAAGTGTTGAGAATATTATAAGCCATTATTAGGTTACCTCTAAGACGCCTATGCTCTAATAAGTGAAGGTCTAGTGAATGGAGGCGTTCTTCTTAAGGCTTAGATTTGAGTCCTCGAACTGATTTCGTGGCTCGCCGTTGGATTCGCTCCAAAGTGATCTTGTTCTTTTGGAGTGAGGGGGGAGTACTATGTTTCCGTACTCTAAATGGGGACGGATAAAACTATTGAAGATTATATGGAAAGTCCTTCCATCAAACTGACCAAAAATGCGCTTCAATGTTACCAGTGCAAGGTTTGCTCGGAAGGCATTTTTGTCACAGTTAGCGTAAGACTTTAAATCATGGGACACCAGGACTCCTAAATCTTTCTCGACTTGGGATACTACTAGAGAGGAGTTTCCTAAGTTGTAACTGTAGTTTGCGACATGTCGCAGACGGACCACTTTACACTTTGAAGTGTTAAAGGTAAGTCCGTTATCGTCTGCCCCACTTTGAAGTGGAGTCAGATCCTCCTGAAGTGCCTGTGTATCGTCTTGGTTGCGTATCTCTCTCCAAAGTTTCACGTCGTCGGCAAAGAGTGATAATTCTGACGTTACCTGTTGAGGAAGATCATTTATGTAGATCAAGAAGAGAAGATGTCCTAGTACTGAGCCCTGAGGGACCCCACCAGGACATTCCATAGCCTGAGATAAAATGAAATTAACCCTAACCTTAAAGTGTCGATTTTCTAGGTATGAAGTAAGCCAATCGATTAGAGGTGGTTTGATACCTAGTCGTTTGAGCTTATTGATAAGACACAAGTGGCTAACTTTATCAAAATCTTTTGAGAAATCTAGGTAGATGATGTAAACCTTCCCTTTTCGATCGAGGGTGCTTGTTCATCTGTCCACCGCAGTCAGCAGTTTGGTTATACAAGAATAGCTCTTCCTGAAACCATGCTGTTGGTGTGAAAAGAAATTTAAGGAGAGAAAATAGTCGTTTAAACCTTCACATATCAGGGACTCTGTGGTTTCAAAGGTTATGACAGAAGAGCCACCGGCCGATAACTTGAAGGTTCATTGCGTAGACACCCTTTGAAAATTGGTGTGATGTGAGCCAACTTCCAATTTTCAGGTAGTTTGCCTCGGCTTAGCGAGTGTGAGAATGTAGTGGCATTGGACCATAGCCACACTATCCTCAAAGCTGAATACGAGATTACTCGGAAAATAGGTATTCAATATTTAACGCGAAGAAATACCTAACGATGGAGAAGGCGCGAATAATGAGTTGAATAAATTAGAGTTGATCGAACGGCATGGCTCGGCCATGCAGGCGTGGTCTCTGCTGAATGTTACCTTATATCTTCTTTTCATATTAAATATATTGTTCTTTCTCTAGCCTAACCTTGTTCTACATCATGTATTGGTAATTGATACGATACAGTGAGTTGGTGTAGTTGATGGTGTGACTTCCACGTAAGATCTTATAGATTAGGCAGTCATATCATGACAAATCCACAGATTTAGGATTAGGTCTATTATTAGAGCAGTACTAATATCATAGTAGATCATAAATTCTACATTGGTGAGCCCAACTAAAGAAACGCAACCTATTATTGTTAATCCTTATTTCCACCTTAACCTTCTCAATCGGTTTTTATTTTTGTAAACCCAGTATTCTAATAGTCCTTTGATTAATGGTCACATATATTATCGTAATGTTATATCTATTAGTTCATATAACTTACTAGCTCAATCGATAATAAAAGTTGATCATCTATATCAACTAATTAGCTTTGTTGATTCGTTAACAAGCTTTAATAGCATTTACCTGCTTCAGCGACATAAACTTGTTTAAATATCAAGCTCTAGCAAATATGACCTGTAAATAGCGTAAATATACATTGGCTAACAATGCAATCAAGGATTGAATAGTTATCTGGATCTAATTCTTAGTGTTTCTTCGCTTAACACCTCATCCTGTTTTAAACTATGCACTATCCTTTTCTTCCGACCACTGCCTGCCTAATTTCATATTCTCGAGTTCCATTGCCAAACAACAAGGATGACACTTCTCTAAAAACATACGGTGAGTTTCAGCCATAAGTTTCCTGCAATCATAAGGTCATTTTAGATGGCTCGTTCAATGGCTGACACAATTATCTGGATTCATTCGATTGTTTTGATCTGAGCGAGTGGCAACAGCATCAAGCACCCTGGAATTAATTGCCATACTGCATGTTTTATTGTGGATACTTTTGGATCATTACTCCTCACGAATGGCGTTATATGTGCCGTCCACTGAATAATCTAATTTTCAAAAATAATCCAGGCGAGTTCAACTATTTTACTGGATGATTTTTTATGTACTTAACATGTATATGTTTTCCAGTTGCGTTTGCCACATATTTATAATTATCTTTAGGCTAAATGCAGTAACTTCTTATAGAATGCTTATAACGCATCATATTCCTGCCTGAAGTTTCACAAGCAGTCTAAACTTTAAAATTACTTGTCTGGTCATGTTCATTATTTTTAAATCGTCATATACGTCAACAACCTGCATGTTAACCTGGCCCATACATACGTTACACTATATCTCCATGTCTTCTAAATTTAGAAATCATCTGGATCGCCTCTAACATTTATTAATAAACCCATCATAGTCGTTGTTGGTAATCGTATTTTGATTTATGGATTGGTTTATCATATTAGCAGTCTAAAGTGCAAACATAATTTAGATAATAAGATTAAAAATTTAGGTACTATCAACTGCACTAGTAAAATTACTAAATCCTCAGGTAGTTGTTGGTTAAACAAACTTTTAAAATCAAAACTCCGTAGCCTACTAGAATTAACATTAAACAAATATTTCTGAATTGAAATTTGTAATTAAATTAGGCGTCTCGGATTCTTTAACGTTATAAATTTCTGATAATTTTGAATCACCTAAAACAACAATGCCTATTTTTCCACTGGCCAATCTTCAATCAACACTATAAGTAATTAAACATAGTAGTTTCAGGATATCTTCATAAAGCATTGTCATGACTTGACAATCACGTAATATGATTGATAAAATTAATGAAACTATTAACAAAATCGGTCAGCAAATTGACTTATAATTATCACTAGTGTTGTTTTTCTTCATTCACTACAGATGATTACAGTATGTTTCTCTATCAGTTGCGCATTCAGTAAATATCTCAAAACTTTGTCAGTCTAATTGATGGTTTAGCGACACAATCATGCATGCAAATAATCAGTATAAGCAGTCGAGCAAATATCCTGCAAACTGAAAACATCAATGTCGAATTTACCCCAACACTGACTAAGGTTCAAGCTATTATCATAGGCATGAGTTGGGAGTGCACTCCCCTTGGTTACAACTTATGTTCTCCCTGATAATCACAAGAGCATCACTCACTATTAATCATCTTGTAAAAAATTATTTAGACAAATACACCTTGCAGCACCACATCACTTAGTAATATGACACATAGGTTTAACTAATTTCAATAACGTATGACCACTATATCTCAATTAAATCGTGTTCCGCCTTATGATAAACTGCATACTTTTAACTAACTTGTATACCCAATCAGCCGGCAAGTATAGATATAAATAAATAGTCTGCCGCAGATCAGAACATTGAGTCTAGAGCTTGTCTCTTAAGAATACACTCATGTTTAACGATTTGTTATAATAATAATAATAATAATTTATTCTCAAATAACAGTTTGTTACATGAGGCATGCCAGTTTACAGGCAAGATCAAATTGATACAAATGATACAATATACACTGCAATAAATTACATAGCTGGGTTGATAATTTATAAGATATGAATGTCGATGGTTTAAATCAGTACTACAGTTGGCGCGCTTCATGAAAGTCGCGTTGCGAATGTGCGACTGATGGTCAAGAATAGGTCCATTGAAGGTATGGGCTTCTAAAAATCGCAACCTTATTTCCTTCTGGGATATCCAAGGCTTTAAGGATGGTGCAGGATGAAGTCACCAGTTCCATATCTCAAGGGGGCTGAAAGAGGGAGCAAGTAAAAGAAAACACGAGAGGCAGAGTAGCCAATATTCATGAAAGAATGCTTAAGGTATGATTACTCAGTCTAATTTTCCTTTATTAAGGTATATGTTAAGAAAGAGCATTTTAATAGGTTATAGAAAATAAGTGTTGACAAGGTGTGAGTGGACATACAACTGACAAATGGGGGCGATTCAGAAAAGAGCTGAGAGTATAAGATTATATGTGATTATAAAATAAAATATAGTGCTAGAAACAGTATTGTGATATACATTTGGCTGTCTTCCCTTTAATATCGGAGCTATTAGAGCCTATTTCGTTTTTTTTTTTAAATATTTTCCCCCCAGTTATTATAGGGTCTTGATTATGCTTCGTATATTAGCGAATTGTCTAGTTTGCTTGTAATAGGATTTCTAGGTAGGAAGTGAAACCAATTCAACGTTCGTAACACGACTTAAAGAGGTATTTTGCGTGAATAGATCAGCTTCAATACCATAAGTTCGTGGCATCCCACTAAACCATAAGGAGCCGTAATTAAACAAAATGTTCTGCCCTACAGACATGGGTGGATTGA